AAATGTACTATTATTTTTAATATCTTTAAAATGTACTATTATTTTTATTAGCTTCGATAGTTTAGTCACGTGTACCAGAATCTGATGGCACGTAGAAAAATTTAAATTTATAGTGGACAACATCGATATAGTAGGAAAAAATGTACTAGATATTTCATATTTTTTAATTGACCAAAATTGCCTCGTGCATGTTTGAAGGTCTGTATGAATTTGTGTGTGAGAAAGGTAAGTCATTTCGGACACATTAAATTAAACAAAAATATATCAAATTTATTATGGGCGATAGATTTATTTACGTTTGAAGTTTGAAGTAACTCGCATTTGCGCTATTTATCTTTTTTTTACCAATCATTGTCTACACACTGCAGTCTTGCCGACCTAGTAAATCCAAGTCACCTATAAGGGACCTTCACTGCGAACATGCTCTTGTAATGTACCGTTCCAAAGCGAACATTACAGGCGGAGAGGGAGGTGAGCCGAGCATTCGCTGCGCAACACTTGTAACATTCGGTAGCCTACTTCATCGGGAACATTCGCCTATAATGTAACAATCTGATCAGATTGTAAGGCTGCGACTCCACCAGATATGGAGGAAATGTTTTCAAGTCTTTAATTAAGTTAGGTACTTGCGAGTGCCTTTGAATGCCCTTGAGTGCCTTGGTGTCCCTTTGAGTGCCTTTGAGTGCCCTTGCGTGCCTTTAAGTGCGTTTGAGTGCCTTTGAGTGCGTTTGAGTGCCTTTAAATGTCTTTAAGTACCTTTGAGTGCCTTTGAGTGCTTTTGAGTGCGTTTGAGTGTCCGCGAGTGCCTTTTAGTGCATTTTAATGCTTTTGAGTGCCTTTCGGTGCCTTGTAGTGCATTTTAGTGCCTTTGAATGCGTTTGAGTGCCTTTGAGGGTCATGAGGTCTTTGAGTGCGTTTGAGTATTTCAGTGAATTTTACTTCCTTTTAGTGCCCTTGAAAGCGTTTGAGTGTCTTGAGTGCCTTTGCACACTATATGGAGCACTGTATATATTAATATGATATGAAATAAATATCATGTCGTGAGTTACGTATACAGATATGCGAACAACTCTAACATCAAGTCAACGCACTTGTATTTGTAGCAGAAACATGCGCCCCGTGCGATTAGCGATTGTAAATTACTATTATATTGTAAAATACTTTTCGGCCCAACGCTCGTTCCTTCGGACGTAGTTTAAATTTTTTTCGTTCAGAAATCCATTGTGGAAGTTTAATATAACTATTATCTACAATTTTCTCGTTTTTACTTCACCGTCATTATGTTGTGCATACTAACATACTAACCTATTCTAAGTGAAAATACTAGTATCAAATTATATGGGTCTTTGCTTGAAATAAATAATTATGTTTTAGTCTATTAGTCTATAATAATCTAATAGTTTCCAAATGCACGTAAGACGTTTTACCTTTCCAGGGTCAAATTGTATTTTTTAACCTCAACCTATGTGGCATGCCCCTATGTAAAGTCTCGCAGTTCAAGTAGGTAGTCTTTCCGGTGACCGTTAGCTATATGTTGGCCCGCATGTCTCCACGGTGCCCTAGAGCCGTAAAGCTCATGCTTTTTAAAGCCTTTGCAAATCCTTTTACACGTGCAGCTTGTGGAATAAGTATACACAGAAAGCGTTTTTCGCCCTACGCGTCCAATATGATTATTTGTGTTAGTGGGAAATTGTACACATACTCAAAGCCCCGTATTAAGGAAACCTTATATCTGTAAACCATGGACACATACATAGTTAACCATGAATTATATCCAAACTCACGAGAGGAATAAATGTACCTACACCATATAAATATTTCTCACGGCCCGTGAATCGAACCAGGGATCTCTGCGTGGCAGACCAGCATGGTAAACGTTTGGCCAAGGAGGCAATTAAATTGACAAGAAGCTTACTTACTGTCGCGTAAACAAGTCTACAGTCTGCGAGCATGTCATGGATAAACCTACATATTCAATCAAGTTTGACAAACCCCAGGTCTTCGCAAAAAAGTCCGTTATCTACCCAGGATGCTGCGAAAGGTCCTTGAATTTAAAAAACATCTTAATTTCAACAGGGAACATGGTTTTTCTGTACCACCAGTTTGGGGTCCAGTATTTCCTTTGATGAAAAATCCCAAACAGACATAGACTTGGACAATGGTTACAAGCTTGACTGTGAGTGCGGTATCTGTTCTATTGGACAAACGAAGCGAAGTATTTGTACCCGCGTCAAAGAACGTATAGCTGATGTCAAACACCGTCGCGTAAACAAGTCTGCAGTCTGCGAGCGTGTCATGGATATTCCTACACATTCAATGAAGTTTGACAAACCCCGTGTCCTTGCAAAAGAAGTCCGTTATCTACTCAGGATGCTGCAAGAGGCCATTGAAATTAAAAAACATCCTAATTTTAACAGGGAAGACGGTTTCTCCGTACCACCAGTTTGGAATCCAGTATATCCTCTGACGAAAAATCCCAAACAGACATAAGACTAATTAATATATGCAGTACTAATTAATATTTTTTTGGTTTATTTAATTTCTATTATAAATAATAATAAATTGAACTTAATAAAAATTTACTCAATAAAATAATTTGTAAAAGTTAATGTAGCGTAAATTCGAATGTTTTCTTTGCAAAATTAAAAATAAGGTATATAATTAATAACTATTGTAACTATAGTGAATAAATAAGGTGGTTTGCATAATATTAGACATAACTGGTTGAAGACCACCTCAGTCAACCGTGACCATGGGACCTGTAAAGGGCCCGAAACGTCGGTTTGTTTGAAAAAACAAATATACGCGATTTAAATCCGGAAAAGGTTCATTTTCTATGTGTAACAATCGCGAAAACCTAAGAACTCGATATTCGATAAGTTTACTTACATTTTTTTGATGCAACATTGGACAGGCAACATGGTGGTGGAAACGTAGGTGAAGTGTAACATATATGCTTCACTGGCGGATACGGATACGTTGGTATGCAACGTACGGATTTCCCTCGTAATGGACAATAACACTGTTGATGGCACTTAAAAGGTTTACACTGTTTAAGTGTAATGGGGAAACAGTTACCTTTTACATTCTTAGGAGGACGGGCGCATTGGTTGCCATAGAGTAAAAAGATGTGTTTAAGTATGCTGTTAACATTTGGAGATTTGTGTTTTAAGAAGTATTTTAGGAACATACTACTAGTATTTGTGCCAAATGTTCGAAATCAATATTTATATAAGACTTTCTTAGCTTCAGTAGATCATTCAATTGTCATTTTCATTTCCCAATTTCTATTGCAAATCCAGTGTTCTTTGAACTTGTTTCAAGTTTTCCGTTTTATTCTACACAATTTTTACAGCTGGTTCAGCATTATTGTTTTCTTATCGCACACACAGCGTGTATGTATATTTGTTGTTTTAAATATACATACAAAATTTGTAATTTTTTTGCAAAATCATTACTGAAAATTAACATGAAATTATTAATTATATTTTCTTCTTCCTGTTGCCTATTGACGGTGCTTATTTAGCATTTCGCCAGCGGCATATTTAAAAATAATATGTAAAAATTTTTTAAGTTAAATTTCACTCCATAAGTACATTTACAAATACAAATAAATTTTGATGTGGTTTTTTAAATTGTGACCCGTATATTGACAGTAAAAATTTGACGCCCTGTGTCAAAAGCTGCAATGTTCATGACGGAGTAAACTATTTTTTTCCATCCTCTAAGGAGTAAGCTGATAACCTGGACTTATTGGAAATAATAGACATGTACTGCCTTCTATCGGCAAAAATTGGTTCTACTCTCATTTGTGTTGAAATGCTTCTCACTGGTAGCTCAGTTCGTAAAGTGGAGAGCTCCTTATGAAAGAATTCGTCCAGGGAAGTACTGACATCGTTTTATAATATCAAGTGATAGAACGGACAAGTCGTGCGTCTGATGATAAGCTAGACGCCTGTACATAACAGCTGCAGTGCCGCTTAGAGCTTTAAATTCGGCAAAGATCTGAGGGGCACTGCCACTGCGCCCGACATCCTGAGACATAAGTTGACAAGTCGCATGTGCCTGTAATTTCACCAGCTCCCTTACCCTTTAAAATCGGAACACAGTAATGCTAATATTACTGCTTGGCGGCAGAAATAGGTAAGGTGGCAGTACTTCCCTAGACGAACTCTTTCTCAAGGAGGTCTACTACTGCTGCTACCATTTCTGTCGTCAAATAATGCTGGTGAAATTACAGGCCCTTGGGACTTGTCACCTAGTCGCAGGGTGACGGGCGCAGTGGCAGTATCTCCCAGACCACTCTGAGTGGCACTGCAACTGCTACGGACAGGCGTGTCGCTTATGACCAGGTGCACGATATATTCGTCCCGTCACTTTGTATAACAAAAAAAGTGAATAACGTATTAATACACAATCAGGCAATTAAATGAGGCAGTTAAAGTTAAAGGCTCGATGATGTAATAACTAAAAAATATGGAGCTTTGATCCTGGACTTAATATAACAATATTGTAAAGAATTGTATGATCTACTAAACAGTTTTATTAAAGGCATGAAGTAAGGGCAAGAAAGTAAGAAGTAAATAAAGTTGTAAAAAAAAGATAAAAATCAGTCTTCAAACGTTGTTAAATGCTCAATTATTTTGTCCGTAAGTTTTCAGATAGTTTAAATTTTGTGCAAAGGAGATTATGGTCATTCTGTTTTTATTAAAGCCTATACGAAAGAGACAATGGTATTTTCTTAAGAGAGTCAGCGATTCGGCCAGTATAATTGTAAGGACCACTGACAAATATCTAGATAGACGCCGCAAGTGTACGCACTTCGCGTGCCCAAAGTAACTGAAATTCACTTAGTTGCCGCTGCTACACTTCAGAACGCGCTCGACCGTTATCGTAAGTAGATAAACACCAGTTGAAAACGCGAAAAATACATAATTGTGCCATTATAAACTGCAAAAGCACCATAACTGTGGGTTACAGTGTGGGTAAACAGGGACGTTTCCTTCCAGGGGCAAGTGATTTTGTAATCAGAAGATGCATAATTTATTTTAAAAACAATTATTTTCGTTTTCTATGAATTTCGAGAAAACAAATATGCAACCGAGTGTATGTCTCATGATTTGTAATACATTGCGGCTTTTACTTGGTGCGATATATTTGTGATTTTTTGTTAATACACCATGAATATCGAACGAGCGCACGTTTGTATAATGCATTCAGTTTCGTGGTACGGCCGCTTGTACATTTCTTTGTCCAAATTTAACATTTAGTGATGTATACGTTAGGCAACACTGTTCTCCATTCTGATCGATTTTGAAAACAAAGGCACGAAAATTATTATGACCTTAGCAATATTATAAAAATATTCTATAACTCTTTTGTTCTAACGTTTAGTTACGTTTCGTTTTTTTTTTCAGTTTTGTAGTATATATTATCAGTAGTACCTGTAATTTCGATAATTTTTGAAGCACGTTGCCTCGAATGTCCGAAAATAGTGAGCAAATACATTAAAAATAAATTACATACCTCACCGGATATGTAATACGAGTAATACAAAACAATATATAATGCAAAGAATTAACAGTGCGCTGTTTTTACAAAAACCTGGCGTTGGTCATACGTATGAGTTCGTTGCTTTCGAGGACGAAGGTGGTCTAGTTTATCCCACCAAAGATGCTATCCAAATATGCAGAGTAGCAGAGTTAGAAATCCGTAAAATAATAAACAAATCACAAAAATTTCACATGAGGCCGTCATTAAGTAAACCTCTTCTGATTAATAAGATTTTACCATATTTTGTCAGCAGTAAGATTTTTATTTGTCTTGCCAATCAATTTGATCAATTACCAACAGAAAACCATCTAGTAAAATTAATTAAGGCAGTCGCATGTTCATATATTAACGTGCGTTTTCATTATTTAAGCCAATCGATAAGTTCTTCTATTACAAAAATATGTTATATAATAAGCTCATTTTATTGGAAGGACTAGAATTTTAGTATTTGAAGTCGATTAAAAACTAAAGTCTTAATTTTTTTAAATAATCAACATTTTTAAATACCAAGTAATAATATTAAAAGCAAGTAAAATAAAACAAAATAAAGCACTTAACTCTCCTATTCTAGTATTTTTCTACTATATTGATATTACGACTACTCGTAATCAATAAATACTTGAACAAAAATTATTGTATTTGGAATCGATTAAGTGAATGGAATACGCGTGTATAACGCGTATTCCGTTCAATCAATCCATTTTTAAAATATAAATAAATAAAATAATTGTACTATTATTTGTAATGTAAATTCAATTTAATTTAATTCTTAATTGTTTACTTCATTAATAATTATTATTTTCGGTTAACAAAATTCAATTTAATTGTTAAGTAATGTAATGTCTCAATGCCAGACAAAGACAAAGAAAGAGGAGGGATCCTCTCTCCACATCTCTGTTTTGCGCCACTGAGGTCAATCTTTTAAAGCTGTTACACACGGCGACATTTAGCGGTTACACCATTTTATCCGGTGGCGCCTTAGAGGATGTAAAAAGGCGCAGTAAAGGCCATCACCACCACCAAAATGTGTAGTGCAATGCACATAATCAAACCGTTACGATATCATAGCGATTTAGTCGTTGAACTGCGATTTCGTATTCACGTGTGACAGTCGAACTTCAACGAGTACAATTTTAAAGTCGTTCGATCCAAATATCGTTAAAGACCCGGCCTTACGGGTCATGCAAACTGGTCATTTGAGCTTCGAGCACAGTTTTACAAACCATACAGTAGCGCAACGAATGTAGATGCACAGAGCAACAGCTGTTAGCAACTCCCCTTCTTTACCCCAACCTACACGAGATGAGTCAGGCCGCGTCCTGCAAACACGCTTTGTTTGCCGGATCGATCGCTGAAGGTTGTAGGGTGTGCGTGTTTTAAAATATTTTTGAATACGTTCAGCGAGTTCTACGAAAATCGTTGTATGTGTTTATAACGGCGTATATGAACTGTTTTGTATACGGATGTAATTCGAAAACGAAATACAGTAGGGATGTAAAATTTCGTAGAATTATTAGACTAGCTATTGAGTCACGGCCATTTTCATGTTTCCCCTATTCTTTTATGATTGAATTGTTCATCTGGATGCAAATACAGTATACTTACTTATTGTAATTATTTTTTATAACACCACGTGACGGGATCAACAAGTCATGATCTGAGTGAATGGTGGTAAGCGACACGCCTATTCATAACTTCTTAGGGGCATTGCCACTGCGCCCGTCACCCTGAGACATAAGTTGACAAGTCTCATATGCCTGTAATATCACTAATACCCTTACGCTTCCAAACCGGAACGCAGTAATGCTCATCTGGACATATAATATTATAAGACTTTCACTTCGTTTAAAATTTCATTAGTATTTTAGACGGTAAACTAATTGGCAATTGGTATCACTTATTATTGTACACACGCCAGGGATGTACTGGCTTTGCATTATATGTTGTTTTGTATTACTCGTATTACATATCCGGCGATGTATGTAATTTTTTTTTTATGTATTTGCTCTCTATATTCGGACATTCGTGGCAACGTGCTGAAAAAATTCTCGAAATTACAGATACTACTGATAATACTGATAATGATTTAACTGCCTCTGTGGCCGAACGGTTACCACGCCGGACTGCCACGCAGAGGCCCCAGGTTCGATTCCCGGGCCGGGAGAAATATTTGTATGACCTACATTTATTTCTCTCGTGAGTTTGGGTGTAATTTGTGGTTGTCTATGTGTGTGTCCATGGCACCCGCGACACAGGGTTTCCCTAGTGCGGGGCTATGTTGAGTGTGTGCGTTATTATTATTATTATTATAATATATACTACAAAACTGAAAGAAAATCGAAATGTTACTAAACATTATAACAAAAGAGTTACAGAATATTTTTATAATATTGCTAAGGTCATAATAATTTTCGTGCCTTTGTTTTCAAAATCGATCAGAATCGAGAACAGTGTTGCCTAACGTATACATCACAAAATGTTTAATTTGGCCAAAGAAATGTACAAGCGCCCGTACCACGAAATTGAATGCATTATATAAACGTGCGTTAATTCTTTGCATTATATGTATATTGTTTTGTATTTCTCGTATTACATAGCCGGCGATGTACGTAATAATTATTATTTTTTTATTTATTATCTCACTATATTTGGACATTCGAGGCAACAACGTGCTGCAAAAATTATCGAAATTACAGATACTACTGATTAATAGATACTATAAAACTGAAAAAAAACGAAATGTTACTAAATGTTATAACAAACGAGTTATAGAATATTTTTATAATATTTTTGAGGTCATAATAATTTTCGTGCCTTTATTTTCAAAATCGAGAACAGTGTTGCCTAACGTATACATCACTGAACGTTAAATTTGGCTAAAGAAATGTACACACGTCAGCACGTCAAGCTACACATTGACGTATCTTGTTCCGTTGCACTGGAGGCGATTTTCGAACAAAAATGTGTAGCCTGATGTGCCGTTGCCCGTTCAATAATCCGCACGTTATAAAAATTACACAAAAAAAGACTAATATAAATAAAACGGAAATAACACAAAAAACAGGGTAAAAAACATTTAAACAACAAGTTACGTAATACTATACTGACATGTGTGCGGCCGTGGTGTGTACAAAAGGATACCATTCACCTAAAGTCACAACCAAGACTAGCCTGTAACGCTAATTTCCAAAGGGCCCTAGCCGTAATTTATTTTTTAACCGACTTTAAAAAGGAGGAGGTTCTCAATTCGACTATGTTTTTTTTGTATGTTACGTAATGACTCCGGTATTTGTGAACCGATTTTCATGATTCTTTTTTTGTTGGAAAGAGGGTACCTCCAAAGTGGTCCCATTTCATTTTGAAGAAAATCATCCACCTCTAAGGGTGGCTGATCACTCATGAACATTCATTTTTAAATAGCGCCTAAATTTTACTTAAGGAGCAATTATTTTAATGATTGGTTTTGCTATTCTTCAATTCAAGGTGTTTTTCTCTCTCAATATACTTTTAGTGAGAACCGATTTTTATTATCTCCTGTGTCAAGTCCCGTATAGTGGCGAACTAGGGGATCTCTCAATAAAACATAGCAAATAGACGTGATTCCATGTACTTTTGAGGTCGGTTTTTTTAGTAGTCTGTACGAGATTATATTTTACCTTATTTAAACATCTAAATAAAAAACAAATGAGTATTGACAGCTATTATTAATACATTCAAAATATCAATTGACCAATATTAGTATACCATCTTCAATAAAGAATGATTCAACACCAAACATGACAAGCTTAAAGTAGGCTTTTTTAAAAGAATATCTTTTATCTACATAAATATTTAATTGTGGTGTATAAATCATTCTTGAAATATTACATCTGTTCCACAATTCAAGGCATTACGTACATTTATTATTCAGATACTTAATTTTATACTACCCCACAACACAGTCATTTTTATTTAAAATCGCTTCAAGTGTGACAGCAATGATTAGAAAGATAATATGTGTACTTAGAAACAATTGAGACTGCACAGAATATCGATTCTATGATTATTTTTTGTCGGGACATTGAGGAGCCGGTGGGGGGCACGGACACGGACACGGACACCTTGGGCAAGCCGACGGGTAACACGGCGGCGGGCAATACGGCGGGCAACACCCGGGGTAGCACGGCGGACAAACAGGCGGTCGAGGGCAACACGGTGGCGGCGGACAAGGGCAACAGGGTGGTGGCGGCGGCGGACAAGGTTTCTTCCCTTGAATAGTGCGCAAATCTCTCGACAGTAAACTTCCAAATCGTACAGCCTGTCTATACGAGAACCTTAGCAACTGTGCCAGCATTCTTACAGATTTTTATCGCCGACTGTGTTCAATTCAGAATCGATCCTGAGTTTTACTACGTTTGTTGCTGTTAAATATTAATTTTAAAACATTTTATCTTTATTTTCTTTGATTTGCAATTTTTTTGTGTATTTTAAAATTTTTACATTTTTCTTCTTTTCAATGTCACGTTGCTTTAAATTTGGACATGTGCTATTTTTCTTAATTTGTCATAGAGATGACGAAGAATTTGACAAAAAGGTTGCACTTCAACCCTTGTATTACGATCTTTTCTTCTTTTATCGGGTTGTCTTCAAAAACTTAACGTTTCAGACAACCTTTTGGTATGTGCAATAATCAACCCATTGTAATACTTCCCACTGTTAGGCATGGGTCTTAGGCCACAGTCCGCCACCCTGCCGGGCTCGATTCCGATGGTTATGAACCTTCTTCAACATGCAGGTTCGTTACGTTTTCCTCCACCAAAAGGCTCATTCGCACATAAATTCCAAAAAACTCAGATGTGCAAGCCCGGATTCGAGCCCACGGCCTCTGCTCAAGAGGCGGTACATTGGGTTACCACGACTTTAGGACATTTCTTAATTGGTCCACAGTGCCAACTATTGGGCCGCCGTGGTTGTCCAACGTTGGTTCTAAAATCAATACGACACTTTATGAAATAAAACACTGTTTTCATGAAAATAAATATATTTAACAAAAAAATTTTATCTCTTAAACAAATTCAGAACACTCTAAATTTTCAACAACTTGCTCTCTCAATCTTAAAACGACACCACTAGTCACATTTGTTATCTTACCTTAAATTGTACAAACAGGATTTTCGACGACATAAATATCGTACAATATTTCATTATACAATTTAAATGTAAACAATAAACGACCTTTTGAAAATATCAAAATCAATGTTGCAATGAATATATTGCAAAAACCATTTACTGCAATGAATATAGCACGCATGTACTTATGTCGGACAGTAAATAATATGACCCTCATAACAGACAATTCTTATTGCTTATATCAGTATGATATGCTAGTATAACCACCAATAAACGGCCAACAAAATGGAGGTACTGTCATAGAGATTCAATCAACAAAATAAATCTATTTTATGTTAATTCTGCATGTATATTTTAACAATAATGTATATAATAATCGTAATATTTAGCACGCAAAATCTCCATCATCTTTGCTTATTATATCGAATGAATTTATGATAATAATATTGTTTCTAGAGCTAGCTTAAGCCTATTATCGACTATAGTAAAAAAAGGAGATGTGTATCGTTAAACATTACCTTTTATTACTTTCAATAAGCTATCTAATATGATAAGAGAAGAAATTATAATGATTGCTTTCGTAGATATAGTAAGAAAATATATTCTATATAACAAATACATTACACTCAATTTACAACAACTTCCTCAAAAGGATCTCAATATATCACCAATAGTCACATTTGTTATCTTAAATTAAATTGTATAAACAGGATTTTTTACGACATAAATATCGTACAATATTTAATCATACAGTTTAAATGTAAACAATAAACGACCATTTGAGATTATCAAAATCAATGTTTCAATGAAGATATTGCAAGAACCATTTCCAATGTACACATGTACTTACGTCGAACAGTAAACGATATGACCGCCAATACAAATAATTCTTATTGATCATATCAGTATGATATGCTAGTATGACCACCAACAAACAAAATGGAGGCACAGTCATAGAGATTCAATCAATAAAATAAATTAATTTTAAGTTAATTCTGCGTGTAATTTTGGCAATGATATAAATAATAATCCTAATATTGAACACGCAAAATCTACATCATCTTTGCTTATTCTATCGAATGAATTTATGATAATAATGTTGCTTATAGAGCTGGCTTAAGCCTATTATCGACTAAAGCTATGTGAGACATTAAACAATAGCACTCGTTTCTAGTAAGCTATCTAATATGATAAGAGAAGAAATTAATTTGTTGTTTTTTTTTTGCTTTAAACACGTCTGCTCTCTTTACGATAGGGAGACAATTAAGCGTCATCCGTAACTTGATTATCATAATGTAAGAGAGTAAAATTATACTAAACGACATTGTACAGAACAACAGTCGTAATCGTTCAGTTGTTAATTTTATCCCATACAATACGTCAGTCACGATTAAAACACAACAACATTTTAAAACGTTGTTTTCATAATAACCTACCAAATGTCCTAATCAGATTGTTTGCAAATGCATTCCGTTTTCCTCTTGCAGTTGGCCTCGCAGTCTTGGGGTAAATAATTAACTGCGGGGTTATGGAATAAAGAATTGTTACCATCTCCCCATGGGAACCTTTTGGTCCGACGTCGCATATATTCGTACTCACAAAAGGGCATAACTTTATGGTGGTCACTAAAACCACCACTAGCGTATATTCGGTACATCTGTAAAATAATATCGTATAAACCAATATCGTCAATTGCCCCGAGCTTCTGTCTGAGATTCACTTAAGCATTCCAGCTAAGCATTTACGTAACACTAATTCATTTACTTCTCGCTTTACAAAATTACAAACGGAATAAACGAATTCCGTATATGGCGTACGAGCAATAACATAAACAATTTTAACAAAGTTTCTGCTCTTTACGATTTTGATTTGTTTAACACAAACTGTGCGTACGTTGAGAAGGTATTATCTAATTCATTTTTTAATTACTAAAGTAATCTAATTTACGTAATGTTACGTTGCTACTAACCATAGTGTGTCATGTGTGTGTGTACAATGTCGTTTATTTGTTTAGTGTTGTCAATGCTGTATTTTGCTATTGTATTTTTATCAGTAGGGAACTCTTTTTGCTTACAATTATTTAATATAATTTCTATTATGTTGTGATACAAGCTGTTTGTATCCTCAAAAATAAAACAGATAACCATAATACGTAAGTAATCACCTACTACGACCGTATAACACGCACGCGACGCTACCGGGACGCGGGGGAGGGCATCAGCAATTTTCCTGTCCCCCTGCTTCCCGCACGATTCCCTTTGTCGTCATCCCCGCGTCACTGTAACGTCGCGTCGCGTGCGTGGTCTAACTTATGCGGTTGGCATATACCACTCTCAGTTTTATTTTTATTATAATAAATAATAAACAATAACTTGCCATTGCTACTGGAAATGAGCTTTTTTTATCTAACCTCGCATACAGTATACCTACAATTATTATCTTAATTTCTCTCGGTAATCTTCGGACTTCGAACGCAATACATTTCTATATCTAGTAATGATTAGATTTATCATCTATAATAATTTGAATTCATAACAACAATAGTGTTGTTTTGTTACACAGGGCTGTAAAAGTATTTCCCTTTATATAATAACATTTACTCCTTAATAATGTACCAAGTAAGTTAACAAAAACATAACCAAAATAAAGAGTAGTAGCTACCTCTATATACTTCCAAGTCAATTGCATGCGTCTGATCTACGCCTAGTGCAAAAGGTTTCTGATAGAAATCCGACGACTGCAGATACACGAAGATTGCCGAGAGATTAAGAAACTGATCGTAGTGTACATTTGTTTATTCAGAGTCAGCCGTGACCGTGAGACCTGTGAAAACCCCAAAACGTTGTTTTGTTTGAAAAAACAAAAATACCCGTTTTCAGATTCGAAAACAGTAGCTTCAATATTCAATTGTTGTATTAGCCATGAAACATCAACACACATCTATCCCTCATACGTAAAGAATCGTAAGCCCAAATTTACAACTTTAAAAGGGAACATCTTAATGTAATTCAAAGATATACGTTTATGTATTGAAGATATTAGTTTTTATGTCCTTGAACTGATGCTTTTGTTAATCGTTTCAAGGCAAAGTTGTCAATGAAAACTTCACACCCTGACACATAATTTGAATCACCTTGCATTTTTATTTAAAGGGCTAGAATGCAATAACATTCTTATGATCGAAGTAAAAGTTTTCCTCGGGTATACACATTAAAATTTTCAACATGGATTATTAAAATAACCCCTAATTATGTAGTTTTTGATCAATCAAACATTGCTTACATTAGAGCATTTAATACTGAAAATGCAAGGTGGTTCCAATTATGTGTCCGGGAATGTAGTTCTTAAAGTTCAAGAAATTAAATAAGGATTGGTTGTGACCTATATGGGTTATATTATCAGCGCTAATGGTATCATTCAAATGCTGTTCGATTGCAGTTTGGCAATAGCTAAGCCATAAAATATGTTTACATTTCAACTCACCTGAAAAAGGATAAGCGGAAATCCCAGATAGATGAAAATCATCCTGAATGTTTTATAGTTTCCTTTATAGTATACAGGACAGCATGGATTATACGGAATTTGATTATGACCTCTTTCTACAGGACAGCAAAAATCTCGATGTTGTCTCTCTTTGCTTTTTTTTGCTTCATCTATTTGTTTTTGCATATTAAAGCGAGTTTGAGATTCTGAATTCATGGGTGGTCGCAACATTTCCTGTACAGACCGCTTATAAGGTTTCGACGACTTATTAGGTGTCATATTAGTTTCTGCACAATTTGTGACAGGAGAGTTATAATTCCTCGGTGGAGGAGTCACCATACCAGGTTCATATTTTGATTCTCTGTTGTGAAACTGTAAATAATTTTGAGAACGAGGTATAGACTGGCAAAAATCTTCTTTAGAAATTGGAAGATGATTATATCTGGGATTAGATGAGTTTATCGTTGGGCATCGTTTGAGTGGATCTGGACACGGTGTAATTTTCGTTGGACACGGTGGTTTAGAAGAAAATTGTGATACAGGTCTTGAAAGATATTGGTTACAAGTGCAGTCTTTATATGTATTTTGTGGTTCCGGTAGCTCAGGAACAAACGGAGGTTTAAAATGTTCTAGTTTCAAAGGGTTTTGAGAATTAAAATCTTCGCGCTCTTTTGTGTACCAGCAAGTATTAGCAACTGTGGGATTGCTTTGATACTTGGGTTGTAAACCAAAAAAATGTTGCGAAATCCATGGTTGTGGCCTATGTTCACAGGAATCACTAGTTGTACGTGTAGTACATTTTTTACAATATTCTTCAAGTGATAGTTTTGAATGAATTCTATTTTTGTTAGTTGGTTCTATATGGCACTGTGATTTACAAATGCTTTTGTATCTATTGTTTTTTTCGGTCATTATCTTTTGAACGTCTTCTTGTGATGGTATAGTAGTACTTGTTAAATGTTTACATATATCAAAAAAATAACATTTTCTTTCTGGAGTAACTAATGATACACGTAGATCGATTTGGGATGAAAGTCTCCCACTTTTCGGTTTTGATGCAAACTCAGCGGTTGGACTAGAAGAATAAATTTGCTCAGAAGGTGTAATCTGATCGTCTCTCTTTCTTGAGGTAGAGCAATCTCCCGACGGCGTAGAAGGAGTTTTTGAAGATGATAACTGACACAACTCCTGTGTGTACGCTTCTACATCGTTATCAGCCTTACATCTTAAAAAAATTAAGATGGAGGAGCCCTCTGAGCTTATGTACGGAGGAGAAACGTTATAGTCTTTGGAGTTTGGATGCATATTATTATCTTTTGGTAAACCTGGACGAGTAAAAGGTCTCCTCGTAGCTTTTGGGCTTTGTGTGACTTCTTGACACTCGCATGTGGGCACAGTATTAATTTTTAACAACTCACATAGATTTCTAGAAATTTCTCCAACCGGAGTTCCCTTGGATGTAGTTACATCTGGAGAATCACAATCCGACGAATAAATATTCTGGTAATGCTGACAAACTGGGTCATTTGGAATTGAAGTAATTGCCGTTTGGCACTCACAATCGGATTGATTACAATCCTTCGACGTTGGGCGCTCATAATTCGTCGAAATATTGTATCCACAAGGTGTATTTGGTTCAGATTGCAGTGAGGTTGTAATAGGATTACAATTGTTTGTGTGACCCCTTAAAGCTGAAGATGCCTTGCATATTTGATCATATGTGGGCAAATTGGGTGGCGGAGGTGAAGAAAACGGCGGCAATGGTGGTGGTGGAAGAGGAAACTTTGACCATCGTATATCCGGCTGTAACATTAATAAATTAGACAACTGTATTAAGACCAACAAAATTATTAAATGGCTGAACTATTGACAAAGAACACTGCTAGAAGATCGACTACCATAATCTCTGATTCAGGATACTGAAGTTGTATATGATGCAACTAACTGTATTCGTGCAAATAAATTCTTAAATCGATACGTTTTGTTCTACTACAGCATATGTCATTTATAAATTTAAAAATCGCCACGGAACTATCGCTACTTAGCAGCATTCTATTTTGTTTCTTTTAGGGATAACATTTATGAAAGAAATACATCAATAAGCGCGAGGTTATAGACTTCAGCTTTTGATGCTGCCTTTTTGATAACCAGATGTCATTGCTGAATTAAAGCAATATCTAATATAATATATTATCTATATTACACGTTACCATATCAGTATATATCATTCCTTGCATTTCTTGGCTTTCTACAAACAATGCCCAAATTTACCGTTCCATGCATTAAATATCATAGTAAGCGTACGTTTGATATGCTAATGGTGCTTTTCCACTGGCGTGGTGAGACGAGAAGAGGCGAGACGAGAATTTAATTAAATCTTGCCGGACTATTTTTATCAAAACTATTATATTAGCTATCGATTGATTTTAATAAACATCGCGAGCTTGTGCAGAGGTTAATAAAATTAAAATATTGACATATACAAATAAAATAAATTACATGCTTGATAAAGTTTCAAAAAATCGACTAAAGTAAATCATTGCAGATAATCTATCTATAGATTGATCTGCTAAATAATAACAGAATTTCTTTTTTTTTTAGTCTTACATACCCCGCAACCACTGTTGATATTAATAGCGAGCTCGCACTGTCTCGAGAATCGTGTTTCTGTTGCAGAGTTAATAACTCTATGTTGGCAATAACATAGTTAAACATTACACCAACAAATATTCTTCTCTCGTCGGTTCAGACCATTTCCACTGAAGATACGCTAGGAGATAATTGAAATATGGCCATACAAATTTCGATCCTCGTCTCGAATTTTTGTCACTATACGCATTGTCAAATGAAGATAAATAACACCTGAGGGCTTATTAAGAACTTTTAAAAAACCATGCAAGTTCCAGGCAATTCTTTTTACGCCCAAAAACTGACTGGATAAAATTCGTATTACGACACACATATTTTTCGCCGACTTCTCGCTGATTATTTTGTCTATGACTCGGACTTGACTAGCTCGTGCTTTTTAGTGTAACGTTCAAAAACATGGATAAATACCGGTAAATTACGGTATTCTATTTTGTGATTTAGTTTAAGACAAAAATAATAGATACGTATTATTCATCTACGAAAATAAATAAAGGCACTATATAATAATAATAATAAAGACACTCTATAAGAAAATCAATACACTATATTTTAATTTTTGTAAATAAGAGACAAGCGCAAATTAAGTTTCCGAACGACGTCAAACGTGGACGAAATTCCGCGGGTAAATTTTTACTTTCTAGTTTGTTGAAAACATGTCTCTATTATTTTAAGAATGACTTTAAATTAAATTGTAAGAAATTATATTTGACTTTTTTGAAAAATAAGCTTAGCCTCAACCAATAAATCGGTGGATTTTGTGGGCCTCGACATGTGCAGTTTAAGGACATCGCAAATATTGTGGACCATATCTCTGCTAAGCCGGTATATTTTCATAAATTGCTGTGCATCCATTTCAAACGGATCACTACAATTTCGCAGTTGTCTTCTTTGGATTTTTTCCATATTATTTCGTGTGAAGCGTCACTTTCGAGATACTCGAACATTCGTATTTATCACACATGATGAAACGATTGCCTAAAAATATATAAACTCAAAATTATAATAATTATTATACAATTACGCACAAAACAATTCAATAACAGCTACACCAAGACACCGTAAACCAGTGAGCATAAATAATACTAGAGACGCAATGTCCTACAAACAGTTGTTTATAATGTGGGACCACTTTGCCAATTTAAAGACTAGCTTTGAAACTGATTGAAATTTCAAAGAAAAATATATTTGTCTCGTTTTTTCTAATGTCAAACTTATTATGTCAAAATGAAATAGTCATAGTCATTGACCTACCAATAAATGGACATCGGGTCTAATACAAAAACCACGAAAAAAATGTCCGTAGTTAACCTATACAAACGTAGTAATATGTAATGAAAAATAAAAAGCTAAAACATTTAATTAAATTGTAACGTCATTGCAGCACTGCCTAATTTTGCTTGCAACAATTTAAGGGCCCAAAAACACCATATTCAACTTCTACTGGAAACTTAACAAAATGCACCATATTTAGCTTCGACTGAAAATTAATTATATATATTAAATTTTTATATATATTATTATGTCGAATTTTGTACAAATTCACTTAAGGATTATAATAAAAAGTTGGGCAGATACATACCTACAAATATTACTAAAAATGTAAAAATAAGCGTGTATTATAAGAAATGTACCGATATTCCAACTAAACGTAAACTCAAATATAATTTTGAAAACTAATTTATAATAAAACCGTTACGCGTAATTTTGATGTTTTTCACAAAGCCAAAATTAGCTTTTGTTATGTAATCTTCCTAAAAAAATATATTTGACATTATGAAAATTCGAGCTAATGTTATTTCGGGCAAATGTATTTTCTGACTTCCGATAGGTAATCTCAAGCCGTAAAACGAGTACAACAATATTTTGTTAGTTATTGCTAACGTTTAATAAAAAAATCATTTTAAAAATAAGATTAAAATCAAACCGAATGTATAGTTTCTTTGTTTTAAACATTTCAATCGCTTGTGGTTCGAACAATTGAAAATGACCAAGAAGTTTATATAAGCTTCTTGAAACTGACGTAATGGGTCTTTTTCCATCTTATGCGCATGCAGTGTAGAAAAAGGACAGTTAGCTATTTGATTATTTTTTGTGCTTTTGTCATTTATATTTACGATTCATTTATATATAAATTAAATACTATAAAACTGTACAAAATAACACTTTTGAATGAGAACTATGATAACACAATATATTTGTTTAGTGAAAATATGATACAAAATCCTGGTTTTACACTATACTGCAGTAATTTTTTTAAAGTTGTTATTATTGGTACTGCATGATTGACAACCACGCTGTCAGTCGAACAAACGAAGACTGTTGCGCGATTGACGCTCTGTATGCGATTTTAACGCCCTACAGGTGCGGACACTATTTAGCGCGAACTCGACGTCCGTTTATTGGTAGGTTATACTCATAGAGCATTAAGGGATACGACCAGTGTTACAGGTTTAGAAAAATATTTTTCCCTAATTTATCGTAGCCTCACTGGTGGAAAGAGACAATGGACATAGATAGTAATCAGAAACGGAATGAACGAGTGAGTGAAATATACTTGAAAATATAACTTAGGGGTCGACGCTTGGAATTCATAGTTCTTTCAAGTAAATTGTAAATATGAAGAGTTGAATTTCTAATCTATGGAATTCATTGTTTTTCTAGTATATTTTATTTATTGGATAATGGTGATAAAAAGACTGTCTTCCGACAAAGTTTCTGTTTCTATTTAACGAAAACAATTTTATAAAGGGGTAGGTGTTACAAATTACTTGATACACCAACATTTAACTATAGGTTATTACAAATTATTAAACACCACTGTGCATCATTAGCTTGTTTTACAATTGCCTTGTGTTATGTTACTCAAAGTATCTTTTCGCAAAAGTCGTATAATTTTTATCCACTCCGTCCTGCGCGTTCGATCTTTAGGTATTCTGGGAAACAAACAAAATATTCTTTTTAATGGTATTACGTATTAATTGTACCTATTACAGTTACACTTTACGTTAAAACATTACAACGAATAAACTTGAAGTAGAATCACTTTTCAAAAGGGTTAACTCCCATTATTATGGGCAAATGAAAATTGATTTACTGGCAACATTGATGTTTAAAATAAATTTATTTCATTTTTATTTTTATTTACGACAATTTAAACAAACAAAATCAAACTTACCTGTGGAAAGTAACCTCAGTAGTTTTATGATCATTTTCGAACCGAGAATTGCAAATTTTAATTACATATTTCTCCGTTTTTGATACTTTTTTGTCACGTCTCGGTGACGCTGTACTCACTCGAATTCAAGATGGTGACTGATGTCATTGTTGCCTGTGGACAACAGTGCCGTGGGGCCGTTTGGAGGCGCAGATTGCGCATCTATTGTTTACAAGCATAATATCATTGCCGTTATTATCACTGAACGGTTTATTGCTGTTACTTTTTGACAGATCAAACGTGAACAAAATGTCAAAATGACGTCTGTAATACGATATTGCCAACCAAACTTCGGGAAGAAGACTGCCTATTGTCACGTGACCGCTGACTGGCTAGTATTACCAGTTCATAATATGAAATTAAAAGGCAATTTACTTTAAGGCGTAAACTGCGTGAAAATAAGAGTTCATATTAGGCCTCCTGGTCTTAAATGAGTTTATTGTATGTGGGGTGCACGAAAAAAGCCGTCCCGCACGACGCACTACCTTTCCTATACGTCTAATGCAACTTGGGCAACAATCGGTGAATGCCTTATCTCACAATCTTTTCACTACGTTGACCAGCGTTATAGTGTATGCCATCGAGTGTAGTTTTTCATAATTGCCTATCTATAATCGTTAAACATGTAAAAACCAAGTAAAGAAATTCTACCATTTACAATTAGCAACATACTGTTGCTAGGCTGCTTATCCTTCTTTCAAAACATATATTGTAAGTATTGTGTGTGTAGGAATATATTATGTAGTTGTATGTTATTATATTATATCGTATATATGTATATATAATACATAGGACGCACTATAAGTTTCCGGAACGGGCCACTTATGTACATAACAATATTTAAAAAGTAATTACAACATTTGAAAATGGAACTCTTTGGCTGTAGAATACAGTTTGTTTTATCTGACTGTCACTTGTTTTTACATTGTGGCGCCATTTTAAAAGTTGGTTAGTACATCATCGTGAAAATTTTCGTAGTATTATTTTCTACGACTTTGAGTGTAATTTAACAGCTCAGCGGAGCATTGCTCGACTTCAAACGAAACAAAAACAACAAAAACATCAATGTGGTGCGCCGTATGATCAAAACAGACAGGCATGTGTATAGTGCGCCTCACGTAGTATTGATTGTAATCATGCCTCAGCCTAAAGATGCCCGAATCTTATGGTATGTCAGATGCCTGTCTGTTTTGATCGTACGGCGCAGCACATCGATGTTTTTGTTGTTCACAGCAGTGGGCGGGCGACCATCACGAAATTCGTCACTGAGATTCACACGACCGCGTTTGAATTTTGCAAAGCAGCTATAAATAGTCGTCTTGTATGGTGCTTCATCGCCAAAAGCAGTTTGAAGCCGAGCGAAGCACCGCTGAGCTGTTAAATTACACTTAAAGTCGTAGACAATCATACTACGAAAATTTTCACGAGTTAAATCCATGGTGATCTAGGCAACCAATTTCTAAAATGACGCCACAATGTAAAAACAAGCGACAGTCAGATGAAACAAACTGTATTCTACAGCCAAAGAGCTCCATTTTCAAATGTTGTAATTACTTTTTTAAATATTGTTTATGTAGATGGCCATAACAGGTGGAGTGGAGTCATTTGCCTGTCAGGTATAAAAAAAAAAAAAAAAAATGGCCAGTTCCGGAAACTTATAGTGCGCCCTATGTACACAAACATTTGGGTGTGAAAAAGCTGTGCTCTTGGTGGATCCCACACAATTTGACTGAGGCTCAAAAAACGGATCGCGTCTCTTGGTGCAATGTCATGTTTACCAGATTCAACTGGCATCAAATTTGGTGTGGGATATAGTAACAGGTGACGAAACATGGATTTATAGTTACGATCCAAAAACAAAGCAACAATCGAGCGTATGGGTCTTTCGAGATGAGACGAAACCAACCAAAGTGGCGCGCGTGTCAAATGCCTCTAAGCGGATGATTGCTTCTTTTTTTAATAAAACTGGACACGTGGCTACTGTTGCTTTGTAAAATCGTTGTACCGTGAATAGTGATTGGTATACGACCATTTGTTTGCCGGAAGTTATTAACAAACTCCGTAAAAATAACCGTAAACGCCATATCATCTTGCACCACGGTAATGCCAGTTCTCATGAGCTTGACCGACGCTTGACCTTATGAGCCATCCCGCGTACAATCCCGACCTGGCCTGACCTTGTGACTTTTATTTAATTCCAAAAATTAAGAACCAGTTCCGCGGTCCACGATTTTCATCACCTGAAGAGGCTGTCGAAAAATGTGAAAAATATGTTTCCGAGACTGTCACGGAGGAGTGGCATAAATAAATGTTTTCAAAATTGGTTCATTCGTATGAAAAAGTACATTAACGCTAACGGAGAATATTTTGACCATTTCTAATATTTTTTTCTTATTCATTCCGGAAACTTATAGTGCCACACGTATTGTCATATATATGTATGTATATTTATAAGTATAATGTGTTGTGTAATAATGTCTATATGTATGTGTAAATATTTATAAGTAGCACCCCCCGCTTTTATTCATGTTTAGTCTCTCTCCATCCCAGACATCGCAGTAAGCGATAAGACCGCCAATTGTTACGCTGCTAATGTGTTTAATTTTTGTCCTGTAATCTCTCTATGTATGTGGTGCTTACAATAAAGAATTTTCTATCTATCTATCTATCTATGATTTTATTAATATATTTTCCTTGACTACATTTTAACTTTCATAAATATAGATGTAAAAATTTATTCATTAAGAATCTTTCCCTTCTATAATAAGTCCTTTTCTTTTATAAGTCTTCTCACGAGCAAATTACCTATATACACCAGAAGCAAATCGACTACATAGACCATGACGCGAGAACGACCTATGGCGCAAGATTCACACACACAATCATTTAATAGCATTAGAGCTCCTTGTGAAAGAGTTCGTCCAGGAAAATATTGCCACCTTACCTATTTCTGCCACCACGCAGTAATGTCAGCATTAGTGTGTTCCGGTTTTGAAGGGTAAGGGTGCTGGTGAAATTACAGGCACATGGAACTTGTCAACTTATGTCTCAGGGTGACAGGCGCAGTGGCGATGCCCGTCAGATCTTTGCGATTTAAAGCTCTGAGTGGCACTGCAACGGTTATGGTCAGGCGCACGACTTGTTCGTCCCGTCACTTGATATTATAAAAAAATATCTCGCATAGAGATCCCAAATAGCGCTCTGTAACGCTAGCCGTATTGACTTGTTGGAATCGTTTGTTTCTGTTATTTGTTCACATTTTATAACATTATTATAAAAACTACTACTAAATCGTTTTCTTAGTTACATCACATTTTTAAAAATTTCTAACCAATACTTACGTTGCATGGAGGAAGGCAATGGTATATAGGATAACACGGTGAGCCACATGGATGTGCTGCAAATATAGAATCGTTAAGTGTCGTATAATGAAATATAATTATACATCAATGAGGAAGAAACCGACTGCATCTTGAAAAAAGATCTTGAACACTTGGAGCCTGATGGTATTTGGATGTATTTATTGATGGAACGTAATCTAAACTAACATCAAAAATGCGAAAGTAAACTCTCTGTTACGTTTTTACGCCTAAATCGCTGAACCAATTTTGATGAATGTTGATACACAGATAGATGGGACCTAGAAAAACGACATAGGCTACTTTGTGTCACAATAATTATAACTTTTTTATAAAAAAAACTGACCTCAAAAGTTCCTGGAATTACATCTATTTGCCAAGTTTTATTGGTTACCTGAACCAGTAAAACTTGCCACCCTTACTGCTGGAATATTTTCTTCAAATTTAAATACATAGGTACAATGCTGAGGTACCCTATATCCAACAATCATCTAAATCGGTTCACAAATGCCGAGTTATCGCATAACATACATAAAAAAATACAGACGAATTAAGAACCTCCTCCTTTTTTGAAGTCGGTAAAAACCATCTCTTAAAGGAAATGAAACAGGTGATGAAAGTTTGTATGCAGAACCAATATGATTCCACAAGTAAGGGACTCGAAGTATTCATTTTACGTAGACGAACTCGCGGACTTATAGTCCGCGAAATAATAATGAAAGGCGCGTGAGACGAATAGCGCTTTCCAATGCGACAACGGTTTGTGACAACCCTGTACACTGACTGACTGATCTGAGATCTGAAATCTCTCGCTTTATGTCGTTTTCGCGTAAGTCGCTCTTTGCCTTGCTAGCCTAGGTTCCCTTGTTAGCTAGATCTGGGTTCGTTTTGGTTTCTCGACCCTGGATAAAATGTAAGGTACTTACTATTCACTGCCTGCTTGCAAATTGGGCAAATAAGGTCACTTGCATTCTTTCCCGCATGATCTTTTGTGTATGTGCTTGTTTTTATATTAATTGCATGCCTGCTTAATAATCTTTTTACTATTGATAGTGCATTTTTTCTGAACATAATAACTGTGCTGTTTCTTTGTAATTTATATTTTCAACTAGAGTACAAGGTACATTGAAATATTATTTACATCTTTAATGATTAGAATTAAATGACTAGGTTTAGTATAATTCGCTAGTTATTTGGTTCTTAAGCATTTTATTAATTTCATTTTGTAAATTTTAGAAAGTCTCACTATTTTTATTGTTTTCTATTTCTATCTACGCTTCATTTTTTCGTCTAGTGTCAAATTGACTTTTGTTTTTTTAATGGCATTTCACTACTTAGTGCCAACGTCAAAGTAAAAAATAAACGGGCGAGACTTGGCCGTATGGTGCATTAGTGCCTTTGCCTTTTCCACAATTGAAAAATAAATACAAAAAAAAACAAAAACTATACGCAAATGAAACGCTTAGAGGATCGAAAAAAAAAAAAAGATGAAAAGCCGCTGTTTTCCGTTGGTCAGATTGATGGTCAAACTAAGTATATAATACTAAATCTATGATCAGACTTGTCTAAGGATGAGGGAGAGTCATTATTACGCCAGTAATCTTGATTATCTATGATCAAGATGAAATTATTGTACAAATAAACTTAGGGAAGTCTAAATATACTCCCGAACACTACCTCGCATTTTTGTCTTAAGTGGTTAGAATACAAAAATAGTTATCATCGAAGAAAAAGGTTTCCCCCGGTTTTTCATGAAAAAGACTTTTAATTTACTAGTTTCAAAATTGCGTAGGATAGCTTAAAACTTAGGGCATTTAATACTGAAAATATGAGGTGGCTCGAATTGTGTCCGGGAGCGTATAAATTAGTATATCGAGTCAATTGTAATTTAGGGAAGATTTAGGAATCCTTGAATGAAAGTGTAGTTTTAATAATATATTTAAATATATCTTTAGTACAGACGTACATTTGAAACTGCATAAGAGTGACAGGAAGATAGTACTTTCCTTATGACACTATGGAAAAAATAGCCTACTCACAAGGTCACATTCATACTAAGGTCCTTTTTTTTATAATATCAAGCGACGGGACGAACAGGTCGTTAGCCTGGTGGTAAGCTACACGCCTGTCCGTAACAGATGCAATACCACTCTGAGTTTTACATCGCAAAAGACTGAGGGGCACTGCCGTCACCCTGAGATATAAGTTGGAAAGTCTCATGTGGCTCAGCACCCTTACCCTTCAAAACCGGAACACAGTAATCCTGACATTACTGTTTGGTGGCTGAAATAGATAAGGTGGCAGTACTTTTCTGGACGAACTCTTTCACAAGGAGCTCTAGTGCTACTAAAACTACCCTACTACCGTCCGTCCATTTCAATCCCCTGCTACGATCCCCTGGTGGATTCATTTAGTCCTACTTGGTCTTTTTCTGAGGAGCTCAGGTTTTATTATAATCAAACCACAAGTGTCTTAACGATTCTTTGCTCCACCTCCCTTAGGCCAGCGTCATTAATTAGGGGTCCTATTCCATCTGTCAATCTACGTAAGCTATTTTGGGAAACGAAATAAAAATTCATCACATAATCCATTACTTTATTCGAGATAAAAATATTTTGATTCCAAAACATATTAATGTAACGAATATAGAGTACAGTCGTCGTTAAAATCATCTCCAAGGTCAAATGATCCAAATGTACACATTAAAGTCAACTTCATCGCGTTTAGAATGCTCAAAATGCCATGTGACAAAATTAATTCAAGGTGGTTTTTCAATAGGATATTTGACTAAAATTGTATTGTTTTAGTCAACTCACATCAATATGCTGAAAATGAAATTCGTTTTTCGATAATTCAACTAACACCAAAGTTAAAGTCGGTGGTGAGGGGAGTCTCCGTCAATTTTCAACAAAACAATAATTGCAGCATGCCACCATTAAAATTACAACCGCCGTAAACAATTTGCTGTTTCGTGCTTATTAGCAATTTATTTTTTCAACGAACTTCCCATGTATTTTTACAATTGACCATCAATTTATGCGAATTTGTGTATATACGCATTAACGGTAATAAAAAGCATTTAATTTTCGTTAATTGTCGAATATCCCGTTGTTTTAAAGTTCATATTTAAGTGTAGCGTTTTAAATACTAAGTCGAATCTGCAAATATTTTTAGTATTCTGGACATACGAGATAAGACCTGTAGGGTGTGTAGATACTTTCACCGTTCAGATCACTTTTATGCTGACATTACAAATGTTACAAAAATGATCTTTATCAGCAGGTTCCATAGACGTTGTTGTTGTTGTTATTGTAAGTTATCTACCATAAGATTTAAAATCGACAGAGCGTAATGGAGCGATCGATACTGACCATAGCACGGCAAAGAAGCTTCACACACTTTTTTGAATGTCCTTACGCATCTTCAAGCACGCCTTCTGAGGCAGCCTTGCACATGCGACTCTAACCTGATCCATACGCGTGTATTTTGCGGCTTGTGCGAGCTTTCGCGCGTCTTTCCAGGTGTAAAACATGCAAATGTGAAGTTCAAGCGTCAAATGGACATTTCTATTTCCTTTACCGCTTGTAAAATGTTCCTTCGGTCGCTTCGATGAGCACCATAAGTTGTGATTTAAAAGAATTATATAGCTCTTTGTTCCAGTTAACATGTCACATGGCAAGAGTTTCATTTTCCTCCAATGTTAACAGAACTGAAACAAACATCATTATTTGTTAAAAAAAAATCACACTCCCAGTGTAATAACGCCACATCCGCAAAATGTTTTCTTTTTAGTTGAGAGTAATTAAAGATTCTACCAAAATTAGCCGATACCTTTTTACGCTTCAATATTTTTTTGATACCGAGTAATGGGACGAATAAGTTGTGCCCTTGGTGGAAGGGACGCGCATGTCCATAACAGTTGCAGTGCCACTCAGAGTTTTCAATCACAAAGATCTGAGGAGCTCCCCCACTGCACCCGATACCCTGAGACATAAGTCGAAAAGTCCCATGTGCCTATAATTTCAACAACACCTTTACCCTTTAAAACCAGAACGTAGTAACGCTCATATTACTACCTGACAACAGAAAAAGATAAGGCGAGGGAAGTCCGTCCGAAGAACTCTTTCACAAGGAGCTCTACTGCTTCTTTAAGTGTCGACACAACCTCAAATGGCTTTGGATGAGTCCGCATAAGAATGAAAATGTTGAATCAATCACAGTGGAAAAAATATATTGTAAAATTGAGGATATATATGCACTGATTAGTATACGGTGCGAAAACACGATACCTAAAAATTTTCACGATAGAAAGAAAACACAAACTTACCTCGACATTTTACAAGAAAACCGCTGTATTTAGTAAGTACTTTACATGTACCAATGATTTTTTTATATCAACTGAACTAAATAGAACACTTATAGTCCAAGGTATACATTTTTCAAATAGCATTAACTTCGTTTGTAAAAAAATAATTTTTGAAATAAAGCCAATGTGCCTGCCGCACCTGCGCAATACAGTTTGCGATCCGATTCAGTACGGGAAAACTTTGAATTCGAGCTGAGATAGTATCGACTCTTAAATATGGGAGTTATAAAATTTTACCAATATATACATAATTTGATTCACGTAGTTCGTATGATTATTACGACCTAGTTAATTTAATGCGTCTAAGCATTTACGGGGAGGATGATATTGGTATGCCATGAACGCGAACGTGGGAATAAGAGGTATGTACTAATTCTACCTATACTATTGCGAGACAGATGTCCTAGTTTGTTTGTGGGTAGTTATTATTACCTTTTTTATGGAATATATTATTCAACACTGACGGAGAATATTTTGAGAAACAATAAATTCATTTCTGACCATTTATAGTATTGTTTATAGTGCACCTCACGTAATACTTATGTATAAGTGTTGGTATTTTTTATTTTCTATTTACATGCTAAGTTTATTATTTTTCTCCTTCCTTTTTACTTTCATAGTGTTGCCCGCTTATGAGCTTTGTTGTCATAAGCGGTTAGGTGGGCTGGAAGAGATCTCTTTTAGAGATAAGTCCACCTTTGCTCACCTTTTTTCTGATTTTTCTGATGTATATTTTTGGTGCGATAAATAATATATAACAATTGTGACATTTACCGCGTCGCGTTATTGACCGATACATTTTATTTTAATTGGTGGACGTGGTTACTGTTGCGTGACTAATGTACCATGCATTGTCACGCATATACACCATGTGTCCCAATTAGATGCAATTAAAATCGGGTTCTTCAAACAACATCCGCCAATGTCTGCCGCCGCCAATGAACGCGACACATTCAAATCTGCGTTACTATCACGCAATACGTGTGGTAGCTGCAGGTCACGTGATTTTGGTAGTTTGAAACTAAAGCTGCAACGAATATTCCGTTACTATTCGGTATTCGGCTTATTCGGAATACCGAATACCTAAAAACAGGAAGACGTATTAAAAAAAAACATAGGACGAAAAATTAAGAAAAAATATTGTAAATTATAATGTAATTAATATGAGTCTGAGAAAGCACAATTTTTTGCTTATTTATCTAATAATTAATTAAATTAGTCATTGTTTTATTTAATTTAATGTAACACTTTTGTCAATCCAAATGACACAATAAAGTAAGTTCTTTAATTTATTTGCTTTGCCATTCTCTTTTTGTTTCGTTCCGTCGTTACTGCCTGCTCAATCGCGGTAGCGAGCAGTTCGGCTGTAATTTTCAATTGCGTCTAATTTTGATCCTTTTACTAGGTTAACTGTAACCTAAATCATGTACCAAATTTTGATGTTACCAATCTGTAATTCTGTATAACTCAGCCCTTACTTTATATTCATACTCGTATGTAATTAAGTTAGGGAGTGTTTTATAGTATTGTACCTGTGTTTTATATACCTTTTCTTGTTACAGCCTTTATTTACCTTTAAAGTATGGAATACATTTACCGAAAATTATGGACCGAAATATCCTATTTTATTGCCGTAATTCTGGTCACGCCACATTAGTTGTTTACAACCCTTTCAGCCTAGTGCACCTAGTTGCATGCAAAGCTAAACTAAGAAAATACGATGTAAGTAGTCACTATGGATGCGTGAGCGGTTGAAAGGCAGCAGAAGAGTGACATATTTTACATAGCTAGCGGGATCGTTGTCTTAGTTTAGTTAGCTGCGCTTAGTTCGCGGTGTGGCCTGCGCTTTACCCTTCCTCGCAATCTGCCGCCGCCGGCGCAAGGGATAGTGATAGGTGAATCAATAGCAGTGTATCCCTTTTCTGTCTTAATGGATTATCACAGTCGCCGGTTGTAGCAACCGTTAAGTATACTGTGAAAAATAAATATGCGGTAATTGATTATAGCAAAACTGTTGAGTGTCGCACAGATGCAGAGTACTGAGATGCGTAATATTTTTACGCGTACATAAGTAGACTATAATAGATATCTATCAAATTCTTAAAATGGTTACACCTTATCGCTATAACCAGCTTGTCGGTATTCTACAGGATATGTCACGGAGAGTGTGCGATGGAATTGCGTAATTCGTTTTCACTTTCCCCTTTCCATCAACGGGGGACTAGACGTGGGCTGGGTTTCCACCCCTATGTTGTGGATATTCCCAGGATTCGCACTAAGCGTTGCGCTTCCACATTAATATGGCGAGCGGTTAGAGAGTGGAATTCCCTGCCTGCGGACGTATTCCCCGAACGCTATAACTTGAACCTTTTCAAGGCGAGAGTGAATAGGATTATTTAGGTGAGCATGCTACATCGTCGACCACATAATCACTTTCCATCAGGTGAGATAGAGGTCAAATGCGCACTTATTTTTAATAAAAATAACACATGGCGACTTTTAGCATCGATGCAGTAGCGATGCAGTCGTTAATCGTCTACCTTTACACATGCGCGCGATTTTAAGCAGCGATGCACGGATCTTAGTGGCATTGCAATTGCTACAGACAGGCGTGTCCGCCATCAGGCGCACGACTTACTCATCCCGTCCGTAAAACGTAAAACTTTATAAAAAAAACAACCTTAAAACTTTCCATTGTTCCCACTAGTTCTGTTGTACAATTCTGTTGACAGAAAAAACTACAGGTACTTTTTTCCCCATTTGTTTGCTTATCCACTTTGTTCGGTACCGCGGGCTCTTCAATTATAACTGAAACGGATATGGAAGTACACTTCAAGTTTCTGTACACTGTAGGGGAATTTCATTCATCTGTATGCCATTTGCATCATCAAATCAGTTCTAGATCACAACTTTTTTTTATTGGAATTACATCGTTTGCCAAGTTTTATTTAAATCGGTTTACGGAAAGTGGGTGAAATCGAATAAACCGGATACATCCACCAATTATTTTCTTCAAATTTCAATGAGACTACTACAAAAAAGTCATCAAAAATCAGTTCACAAAAATGTTGCGTGCAAACACAAAAAATACGGTTAAATTGAAAATCCTTTTTTAATATCGGTTAAAAAGTCTCTAATATAGACCCAGCTTTAGATAGTGATCAAACTTTTTTAACAGACAAAGCTTATGACAACATTAAGCATATTTAGGTCCTATTTCTGTTATGTAAATAATACACTTACCATTGAAGTTCTTATGGATTTGGTACGATAGCTGACTTTCAATTGATAGGTGCTGACAGCGGTGCGCGTTATATAGTGAAATATCGATGTATAAGATTCTTGAAGCCACGAAGGGAACAAGCACCATCCTTAGCTGAGTCATTACTTGATGACAGCGAGTCCATGTAGTCGAAATCGTGGTTAGAAGCCATTCGAGTGCTCTTGAAGTGCCATGAATGGCCAAAGAGCCTTAAAGACGCCCAGGCTTTTTCTATAGTCTCTTGGTTTACTACATCAAATTGAAAAGGACATGGGGACAATAAGCCATCACGTTTTGTTAATAAAATGTTGATGCAATTTCCCTACTACTACACTGTAAGGGCTCGCATTTTGTAGTTTCTTGCTCTGTTTTCATTGTAAGGATTAAACGTTAGTGACTTTCTGACAGTAGCTTGTACGCATTGAGGATGTTAAGTATTCAAACAACATGCATTCCTTTTCCAAAAAGTTCCTGTCTCTGCATCTCGTTCTTACTCGTTAGAGGAACATGTTCTTGTGGTATAACTTCTTGTGGAATCTTGTCTACAATATTAGATTGGCTACAAGGATTGGGATATTGGCTACCATAATAAGGGGATGCTCCATGACAAAGGGCATTTCCATAACTAGGGTAAGCATTGTAGCAGGACGATATACAGCAGGGTGGTGGTCCAGTCATGTTGAAAGGCGGTGATCTATTGGTTGTGCTGCAGTAGCAACTTGAACTCTGTTGAGGACAGCGTGGTCGACGGCAATAGACACAATACCAATTGGAACATGCTCCTAGTGGGTATCTGCCTAAATGAGGAGAGCAATAAGAGGTATAATATCCTTGGGGAGTCGGGGGATCGCTTTGTGGATTATCTGAAAAAGATTTTTTTATATAATTCTGATATAACTATTAATGTATTGCGGTGGGTTACTTATTAGTAGTCCGAAATGAGATTTTCCAGAAATAATGTTTGCTCGATTTTTCTTAACCTCGAAAATAATTTTGAGAGGATTTTTTTTTTCTTTTAAACCTAACCTAACCGCACCTTATCGTGTCTTTGCGAAAAACATCCAACATATCCTGAAAGAACAAGGGCTTCGTTTATAATTCGGTTTTCGGTGTAATGAAAATTCCAACAAACGTTATATCGGAAAAATAAAAGTTTGTGTTTGTGATAAAAAGAGTTTGTGATATGTGGTACCATCATTGCAGTGGTAGCCAAATGAAATTCTTCTAATTAAAAGATCAATCAATGTTTAAAAGCAATACCTTTCGCTGATGATGTAATTATTCTGACGATACCTTGTTGTGAAAGTTGACAACCTATGGAAATTTGTGTGAAGACGCCATCCCGCATTAGGTCACATAGCAGACTATTACTATATATATATATTTTTTTTTCGGTAACCTGGTTGTTCGGTTTTTCAGGATTTTTTTCCTTTACCACCACCACTAACCTACCTTTAAGAGTGTCCGAAAAAAACATCAAATAAATGTTTTGTAGATTATTTTTGTTATTTATAGAATTCATATCTGTAATGAGATTAATCAACTTCTCCCAATAAAATATAAAACAAGTCAACAATACTAATATTGTAAAATAAATATGAATATTTAGAGACAAGCAATGAAACATCTTCTTTTTCAGTTTCCAGTTGCCTGAAAATCGGACTTACGAATATAACCATTGCTTAATTTCATACACAGGTCACGTTTTTATTTCTAAAATAGCCTGCGGGTCAAAAACAGCTTTGTCTCTAAATTTACTTCTCGCTAATACCAAATTTTATATTGTATTGCAGTAAAACTCACTGAATCTAGCGACTAAGTCGCTAAAACAGCAGCACTACCTAGGAAGGAAAACATCAAACCACAAGGATTTTTAAAAGTCGCGCACTATACTCGCCCCTTCATAACCAAAGGTTACCTGTACCATCTTGCGGACGCTATCACTGCACTAGTCAGGTACCCGACTTCCTAGCATTTAGTCAGCGTTTATCATTATTAATCACGGTACGATGATATTATGAGTTACGAATTCACGTTTTAATAGTTTTAAGACAAAACCGAAAATCCCGAATTACCCGGGTTTTCCTGAGCTGAAATACGGGTTCTTAAATTGGACGATTTCTGGATTTTTTCAGTTAACCGAGTAACCGGTTTGCATGCCCTAACTATAACCTAAATCTTATCATAAGTTCAGACCAGTGCCCAGCCCAGAATTTGGCATGTATCTCCTCCAAAAGAAGGTTCAATGATGGTGGGGGCCATATCAAAAATTTACACTTTTTGTGTACATGTAGAGTACATGGAGTATCCCAAACGGTCTTACGTACGAAAATCTCGGTACGGGACTTTGACTTGCAAATTTACTAAAATATTTTTTTAAATTTCTATTAGAGTGTACCATCCGAAGTATTGGAGCATCCAAATAAAAATGAACCTTACTCGGTGGATAGAAAACCGGCGCCAATGACATTGCACTGACTTGTGCACATGATTCCGCTGGGTTCGGCGCCAATGACATTGCACTGACTTGTGCACATGATTCCGCTGGGTTTGGTGACTGCTGTGACGGTGGGTTTTTTGTCTGCTGTGACGGAGCACTTGAACGACGTGAACACAAATTGACCACAGATGGAGATGGTTCTTTGTCCTGAATAGGCGGTGTCTCTGGCCTCCGAGCAGGTTCTGGCAGGGTAGTCTTCGGACTTTTCTTTGACATTGGTCGTATTTGCGCCCGTACAACCATTGCGCACATACGCTCAATCTCACAGAATACTCTCCCCATCATGATTACTAAAAATTTGTTTTTTGTATGTTGCGTTGTGTTTCTTTTAAATGTTATTCATTGCTTTTGATGATCAAAAAAATCTGTACTCTGATGGCAATGTTCTAGAACATCATTTCACTTTTTGAATAGACAAAGGAGACAGATAAACTTCAAAGAGAAATGAAAACTTTAATAACAATTTAAAAGAAGAACTGATTAGCAGTTTTTTTAACCATTTCTATTAATTTTTTTCATCCTCTAAGACTCAACTCACACTGGCGCAGAGTCGAAGCGTCGCAACGCGTCATGTTTTTCGCCTATAGCATATTCATCTCTATTTTCCCATAATTAAGGTACATATTTGAGGCGTCAGACGCCGACCACACTGTGCTTTGGGCGCACTAATGCGAGCGTCGTCGCCAGGCGTTACAGTTGAAAAACAATGTGAGTTGAGCCTAAGATTGTAAGACAGTATGAATAGGGACGAGAATACGTGATATAAATGTTATAATAGTTATAGTTGGTGATGTAATGCTCGATATAGATAATAGGGGTTAAAGTATGAAATTGCCGATTTGTACTGAAAATCTAAATTGTTTATTTTTTAAATTTTTAACAAATTTATTTAATCAAAATAGTTGCCATTATTATCTATATTTTGCTGCCATCTAATGGGATGGTTATTAATGCCTTTGCGATAGAACTCCGACGATCTAGACTGCACAAACTGTGTGAAAGCATTTTGTACTGCCTCCTGGGAAGAAAACTTTTTGTCACGTAGATAATTGTCCAAATCACGAAAAAAATGGTAGTCCGTTAGAGCAAGGTCTGGTGAATACGGAGGATGACGAATGGTTTCTAACTGCAGTTCCTGAAGGGTCAAAATGGTTTCTCGTGCTGTGTGAGGTCTCGCGTTGTCGTGGAGCAATAATGGTGAAGATCGATTCATGAGTCGGGGCTGTTTTACTGCTAGTTTTGTCAACATGGTTCGGAGTTTGGCACAATAGACATCTGCCGTTATTGCTTGACCAAATCGGAGAAAACTATAGTGAATAACACCATGCTGAGACCACCAAACAGTTACCATTACCTTTTTATTGGTAAGTTTTGCTTTAGGACACTGTTGTGGCATTTGACCTGGGGTCAGCCATTGCATTTTTCTTTTCCGGTTATCATAAAGAATCCACTTTTCATCACATGTTACAATTCGATCCAATATTCCTTCATTTCTGTACCGGTTCAACAAGGCAACACAAGTTTCAACACGCGTTTCTTTCTGCAGATCAGTCAAATCATGAGGCACCCATTTTTCGTATTTTTTTAATTTATTGATTTGACGCAAGTGAGTCAATATTGTGGGTAAGGTAACGTTAAACCATGCCGCTAATTCCTGGGTAGTTTGACTAGGATCGGCTTCCACTATCTCTCTTAATTTATCGTTATTCACCTGTGTGGGCGGTCTTCCTCGTGGCTCGTTCTTTAAGTCGAAATTTCCATCACGAAAGCGTTTAAACCAAAATCGCACGGTGCGTTCATTAGTAGACCCCTCTCCAAACGCAGCATTGATATTGCGGGCTGTTTCTGCCGCGTTAGTTCCGCGTCGGAACTCGTATTCAAAAATCACTCGAATTTTCGCAGTATCCATCTTTCTTGTCTAAATTGAATAACAAAAACAATTGAAAGTCGATATTCAAATGTTTCAAATTTAAAAAAAAAATCACAGAAACCATTTGAAAAAAGTTTTATTCGAAAACCTCAAACCATGAAGATTCTATGAAAATTCAAAGAACCTATTGCAATAAAACGGCAATTTCATACTTTAACCCCTAATATTTAGTGCTGTCTACTGAAACGGGATACTTTGCGCACGACGTATTTTACACACGCCGACGACGCGCGTACTACTCACCGTAAACGAGCGTCGCCGGAGACGCGCCGTAGTCGAGCATTTGTATCGCGCATTTTAATAGATAGTTTTAATTTTAGCTTGGTTTGTTAATTTCAGTTAATTTTTTAAATGAAGCAACTTTATGAAATTCTCAAAGTAAACTCCAGTGGAGTATATAAGCTTCTTGCTTGCAACGCGATGCTTGCACGCGTTTGATTCGATTCACAACAGCGCGTCTAGTGGCGTATACGCGCAGGTGATGCGCGTTTACGGCGGCGCAAACGCGCGTTCGTGAATCGAGCGTCGTCGGCGCGTATAAGATATGCCGTGTACATAGGCTGTAAGAACTGCAGCGCAAATTTAAAATTCAGCTATGGCATCCCTATGCGAACTAGGAAATACCAATCTTGATCATTTTGACTTTAATTATTATTTTATACCTATTTGTGGCAAGGCTTAAAATTAGGATATCCTGTTTGTCCAGTTCATTAAACTATAATTAAGTATATGCGTACTACGCATTTGTGTTGTATTTAGTTCAAGATACATCGTCATTCGAATCATTTCACACCATGTCGATTAGCTGATACAAAATGAACCTTATTGCAATAAACACTCTTATATATGTAAGAACCTATGTACATAGGATATTTCTTTATTTATTTATTGCAAACAATGTTAGTACAGACATTACACAAGTAATTTCTAAGTACAAACATACCCCGTTGGGGTATGGCAAATAATTAGTTTTCTCTAATAACTACCAAATACTTTTTTACGCGCGGACGTCGCGCAGCTGCCTCGCCTTAAGATATTCAGTCGCAACCACTAAACTTTTGGATACCGTTTTGAGCATCTTTTCCTTTCACTGCACTTCCTCTTTGATTGAGCGCGTGTTCAAAAAACGAGTGTCGTTCGCGCGTAAAAACACGTGTCCAAAAGCTTTAAGACAAAATGTACATATTATATACAGACATAAACATATATCTGTGTGTTATTATTATATACTTTGCAATTTTAGACGTATCATTTAGAAACAAGTCTTTGTGAATATTCATTAAAGCACATTTGGAAAAAAAGGAAGTAAGAACAGGACTGTTGCTTCAGCTGTACCAAGCACAAGTCCGGTCGTGTATGGAGTACTGCTGCCACCTATGGGACAGCTCTGCTACATACCAACTGGCCACCTTGGATTCAATCGACGATCGTGTCAAGAGGCTTACAGGTGATCCGGAATCAGTAGAGCCGAAGCTGCAGAGCCTTAAACACCGCCGTAAAATTGCCTGCTTATGGGTATTCTACAGGATATATCACGGAGAGTGTGCGAGGGAATTATACGAATTAATTCCGCCTTCCCCTTTCCATCATCGGGGGACCAGACGTAGGCTGGGGCTCCACCCCTATGTTGTGGATATCCCAAGGATTCGCACGATGTCTTTCGCTTCCACATTTATATGGCGAACGACTATGGAGTCCCCTAATCCCCTGTCTGCAGACTTGTTCCTTGAACGTTATAACTTGGACCTTTTCAAGGCGAGAGTGAATAGGCATTATTTCGTTATGCATGCTCCATCGTAGACTTCATCATCACTTTCCATCAGGTGAGATAGAAGTCGAATACGCACTTATTTTTTAATAAAAAAAAAGGAAGACATTAATTATCCAGCAAATTCAGCATGTAAATAGTTAATTTAATTACATAGTACATTTTAAACAATTTGTGATTCCAAACGGCCATAGAAATGGTCCTCGCTATAAGTGTAGGAATTGACGACTTATTGTTGTAAAATAACAAGCGACCACTTTGTGTATTGGACAACTAAAAATAAATTAGACCAAAGATCAAAATCATTAAGCTCTACATTGTTTTCTTTATGTTATCAAGTGACGAGAAACAAGCAATTCGCGCACCTGGTGATAAGCAATAACATATGAGTTCCCAGCAACTCATAGCCAATGAACTTCTGACATTCATGCAACACGCCATTGACACTATGGACGATGTCAGCATCGTGCGATCTGCAAATCAAATTTCAAGGAAGAGTAGATTTGCCGTGGTAAGGCGCTGCTTTTCCGCAGACGCCATCTCGCCGGAGGAATGGAGGAACGAATAGTCTCCAGGACGTTATCACGTTGTTAAAGGAGACCTACCCGAGCAACGTGCCTGCTTTCGTCGTGGCGAAGGAGCTGCACGCTCGACGATGTCGACATCACCAGTCTGCTAAAGGACGTCACGTCCCTAAAAGCGTGGCTCGCCGAAGTTCACTGTAAATTGGAGGTCTTGGATAATACCATCAGTGAGTTGCGTGCGTTATTGAGTAGTGCGGCTTCGGTAAGTAGGTCACCCGAGGCCTGTAACGTGAATATTTGTCGCAGGGCGCAAAACGCATTTATCAACAGTTTTGAGTCGGCCCATATGTCACCAACCATTGTCACCGCGTGCGTTTCCCCGCGCCCCGCCCTTCGGTCTTCCGCCTCGGCAGAAACGTCTCACGCAAACACTGACCTCTCTCAACGTGATTACGCGACTGAATGCTCCACAACCACAACCCAGGCAGTTACTAACAAAGAGGAAGAGAATGAAACGGATACTCATCTCTGGAGCTGTGTCATCAGCACCACTGAGAAGAGTTGATGAACGGTTTCAAAAAGATGAAAAGGAAAAAGAAGTACACCAGCCGTTACTTTAGTGGCATCGCCTCGACTGGCCCTAATCATTAACTGTGTCCAGCGATACCGACCAGGTTGTTACACCTGTCACGACTTCATTACTCCACAAAGTCTGCGGATATTGTAAAGCATATACAGGTGAAAGTCACTGCTATACTGAGAGTCGAGCGGTTGGGATCCCGCCACAATGTGAATTTTAAGTCATTTGTGGTGAAAAATTCAACATCTGTCGACCTTCATGAAGGATGAGGTTTGGCCGAAGGGTGTCATATACCGACGTTGCCAAGACCGGCTACCGGACACCCACATTACTTCACACGTCGCAGACAATGCTTGTGAATAAGAATTAGTCGTTAGTGTTTTACTGTTTGTCGGCAGAAATAGGTTTTCACACAAACATTGTTATTTTTCACGAAAACCATACAAAATAAGATACTTAAGTTTTATTCTTAGAGGATGGAAGTTGTATTTTTCTGAAAGCATAAATTAATGGCACGGTCATTGTATTATGAATAAAACCTATAACTCGATAAGTTATTTTATACATTATTTATATTATTATTTGTTAACTGCAATGTAATTACTATTTACCGTTTTTAGATGCATTTAATTTTAAGTTGTTCCTAATACCTATACTCTTTTTTTTATAATACGAAGTGACGGGACGAACAAGTTGGGCGCCTGGTGTTAGCGATACGCCTCTTCATAGCAGTGCAGTCGCACTCAGGGCTTTAAATCGCAGAGATCTGAAGGACATTGCTACTGTGCCTGTCACCCTGTTGACAAACCCCTTGTGCCTGTAATTTCACCAGCACACTTACCCTTAAAAACCAGAGGGCCTACCATAACCTTTTCAAATACAATCTTATTTCAATGTAAGCTTAAAATAAGCTTATTATAATATTACTCATATTGGTACCATCACAAACTTGTCAACCAAGTAATGTATTATTGCCAAAGTGATTGAAAGAATGAATGATTTCCCAATATTGCCTATTCTTTACTAAAAATAGGAAAGAAATAACGCCATCTCTTTCTTTTATGATGTTCCAAATCGTCTTATCGTAGTATAATGTTAATGTTATTTACATTCAGAGAACTTTAACTTTTAAAAAAGAAAAGTATGTAATAGTAAAATGTATTAAAATTACGTTATGTTCAATTAATTTTCCGCAATTTCATGAAAAAAAAAACAAGCTGAGTCTTGATTGTCACGTTGTTAATTCGGAATTATCTTAGAGGATGGAAAAAAATAAAGGAAATTATAGTCTAGTGTCACTGTTAGCGTCGCCAAGGAGCATATAGATGTCGCTATCATAATTTTACGAAATAAACATCGCGTATTTTTATTTAATGAGAAATTATTTTCTATGTACCATCAAATAAACAAAATATTGCTTACTTCACGCGCGTCATGGTACGACAAGTCAATGTAAGGTTGAAGTAATATTGTTTTAAGAGGTTATGGTAGGCCCCCTGAACGCAATAATGCTGACATTACTACTTGACGGAAAAAATATATGTGGCAGTACTTCTCTGGAAGAACTATTTCACAAGGAGATCTACTGCTACTAAGTACTGGAACAATAACTACTTAAATTTTACAAAAAATGTAGTTGTTCGCCTGGCAAGTTCATATTTTGAGCGGCTTTGTAGGATAGGTTTTCGCAATTAATAAAAACCACATATAAAAGTATGTCAAACATTTATTTAAAAATAAGCATTATTCTCTTTCGTAAGAAAATAAATTTTATTTAAATTTTGTCCAACTGAATTCGTTCAGACATAATTATTGGACAAAATTATTCGTTTCACTTATCTCACGAAAAGAGATTTTTTTAATTTTGGAGTAAAGAATTGGTATGTCAATATCAGTTACGCCTATACTCTTATTTATCCTACAAACTACTTACGAGAAAAACTTCAAACGACGGATTTTGCGTTTTTCAAGGTCATATCTCCAGAGCTCTTTCAATTTTGTACGTCTCTGCGCTAAACTCTCCTTATGAAAAAATCTAAAAAAAAATAGTGTACATCATAAGTCGAAAACTAACTGGAGAGTAGAGAAAAATAAAGCCCGAAGTCAAAGAAATTAGCCTTTTTGGAGAAATGCCCTCGAAACTACATTTTAACTAATTATATGCTCTTGGTCGTTTTGAAGTGAAACAATTGACACCCGTCAATTGTTTCGAATTTGAGCTGGCCAGCCGAAGCGTAATTGTCACCGTAATGATTTGACAAAATAATATATGGCATTTCATCTCTATTTCTGGTTATATGCTCCATGGGTCTACAATGCGCTTACTGAAAATTGTACGCATTACGAATACGAACCTGTAGAAACGGCGTATTTCAAACACGCAGATGACGCGCGTTAATGCGATTCAGTCTCAGCCAGTCAACCGTTGCACATGTTAACAAATTCAGTGACGCTTTGAACGCTTGTGTATGCGAAACGCATATCGTCTGCACGTAAGCTCTACAGACGACTTCAGGTGTGTGTGCACGATACCCTCACCCCTTTCCTCAGCCTTGCAACGCGAGAATATGGTCGTTGTTGAATCATTTTTACGAGTTTTTACCACGATTCCTATGCGCTTTTTACGCACATTTGTACAGCGTTTGAATCGATACAAGAGCAACAATCTTCTTTTATAGTCTACGCACGCGTCGTCTGTGCATAAAAAATATGTCGTGTGTCGTGCACTTAGAAATTATATCAAAAATAAAAGAAAACATTATCCTCCCTCCCGCCCGTCTTACTAAAATCGATGGTAATTATGCGCATGCGTCGATTAGCAATCAACTTCGCTTGGTAGAATGGCGCAAGCTGCAATATTGTATAGAAACCGAATGCAAAGTTGTTACGTAACGCAACAGATGTGACGCAAAGATACAAAATTATGCTCATTTGGTGTGGTCGTGATTGCTCACTTAAAAACAAATATTTGGTAAGATTCTAAGGGTCATATTCTAGAACTCTACTCAATGCTCAAGTCAGGATTGCACTGGAAACACAAGCACTGGAAATACGACCCTAACAGCAGGGACTTGAGTGTGGTTTCCGGTGCTCACTGCAATGCTCAAGTCAGGACTTGAGCATTGAGTAGAGTTCTAGAATAGGACCCTTAATCTATTTCACCAGATATCAACGTCCCCATCGATTAAACTTGTAGATAATACAAGTTTATTCGGTGGGGTCATCGATAAAAGTTCTGATTTCGCTGTAGATTATTACTTAAAGCTTCAATTCTTTGATGAAGGAAATGGCAAGAATCAAGTACTGGAAGAATGGCTTCGCTCAAAAATCCATTACGTTTACAGTTTCTGGTGAGTATCAGGAAATTTTGCAGCACATATAATTGGACGTTTCTTGATAGATTTCCTTATATATTTTTCAGATTTTGCCCGTAGAAGAAGATACATTGCAATAACGACACAAGTTTTCAGACATTACTTAAAGTTTACTGTCGAACTGGGCTAACATTATTTTTGTCTGAAACAACACAATATTTGATAAACAAACATCCAAGAGGCCAAATCACTCAAGGAGAAAAATAAAACGGAATATGCTTAAGGATTCATTGACACGAGCAATGCAATATAAACTTTATTCTCTACTAAGTAAGGCTACATTTCTTTAAATTAAAAATTAAAAGAAGGCGGGGCCGTATATGCAATATAATATAAAAAATATTCTCTATTAAATAAAGTATAGTAATGAACGAGACTCAGATGGCAATGAGACAAGCGCGTTGTTCGGAGTTGCAGGCAGAGTGCCTGAATTCTTATTCAACAGTTTTGCAGAATGGCTCATTCCAACTTTGTTTTATAAGCGAACTCTCTCGTCTACATAAGCTTCCAACTGACCTTTGCATTCGAATCTCGGATTTGCTGAGCGATCTTTCGAGTCGAGTAATCTTAAAAGGCTACTATTCCGAATATCGGGCGATTGATGCCTCAGGGTCCCTTACTACGTATGCATACAGCGATGTGTTAATGCCAGGTACCTTCGGGTATGCTGATAACAGCACAGTTGTAAATATGTACATGACCAATGCAAACGTCAGTGAAGAAGAAATCCAGTCGAGAGTCCTTGGTTAGTCGTTTGGATTTGACACTTAAGGTAATCACTGATTGGGGCAATGTTGTAAAATTTAGTGCTACCAAAATGCAAGCGTGTCTATTCTCTACAAAACGGGCTTTGGACCTGACGCCGATTTTTCGTGATATATCTATACCGATAACTAACCCAATCTTCTGATTATACGAGACGGGCACTATTACCTGCGTAAGCATGGGAACTTATCAGTCAGGTCTTGACCCCAGATCAGCCCGTTGATACAGATTTATTCGGGTCTCAAAAGCGCTTTTTCGCGTTCCATCGCCAACCACATCATCACTTTCTGTCAGGTGAGATGAGAGGTCAAAACGCACTCATTTTTTTATAAAAAAATAAGAACAACGTAGTAAAAACATAGCTATCAGTTAATTTAATAATTACTTACCACGTACAATGACATCAAAGAACAAGAACATATTGTTATGGGAATGTCAACAGCACATGACAAAATTTCTCTCAATACTTCTTATTTCCACATGATATTTTGAGAACTGAAGCTCCTCTGAAGTTCAAAATAAAAAATCTTCCATTAATAAATTATTATTAACGTCTACTAAAATATTACACTCGTATGATACTTTGCACTTTACCTACTTAAAAGTACTATGTATTGGCACATTCATACGAGAACGAAACGAAATGTAAGAGATACCAAATGACATAAACCCGCTGTATACAAGTGGAATCGAGTGAAGTAAACGAAGTTGATTAATGAAATCTGGACAAACAACCGAAAACCACTCGCAGTTAAGTTGTCGTCTGTTTTACATTCACTTCTCGAAATCTCGTTCAGTCATTCTATCCGCTCGTTTTTTTCTATGATGGTAAGTGTCGGGGCAAACTAGTCACGCGTCTGGTGGTACGAAAGTTCTGGATAGGTTGGCACTTACCGCCAGGCACTTACCGTACGATAAAAAAAACGAGCGACAAGAATTACTAAAGTGCCACACAGAGCTTAAAATCCGAAAGGTCTGAGAGGCACTACCGCTGCGCCTGTCACCCTGGGCCACTAGCTGGAAGAAGCTGATTAAACAATAAATTGAAAAAGTCAAGATTGAACCCACTCCGAATTTGGTAAGCTACGCCCAAAGGCTGACAAGTTTTTAAGAGCAGTGGAGCTCCTTGTGAAAGGGAAGTAGGTACTGCCACCTTACCTATTTCTGCCGCCAAGCAGTAATGTGAGAATGGTAAAGCTGCTTGTGAAATTACAGGTACATTGCCCTTGTCAACTTATTCCGGGTGACAGGCACAGAGGCACAGAGGCAGATTCTGGACGTACTCATTCACAAGGAGCACTACCGCTACAAATGGTTGATATAAACGAGTAGTAGTAGTAACTACTACTCGTTTATATCAACCATTTGTTCATAATGTTCCAATTTGTTCAAAAAAACCGCCATTCCGATGATATAAAATACTACCACGGGGAATATTTTTTTTTATAATTTCAAGTGACGGGACGAACAAGTCGTACGCCGATATAAGCTACACGACTGTCCATACATTGGGACGGCTATCATTTTTGCGCTCCAAAACAGCAAAATAAGCCATTTGTCTAGGATTTTAGAGAATTTGCAAGAAAGAATGACCCAACCATACCATACAAAGCGAACATGGCGGACCGAGCTATAGCTCTATAGGTCTCTCGAGACCTATAGGTGGCACGCGTCAGACGCTAACTAACCACTTCTACTGCATTTATTGTTCTGTGATACGACGCACCAAGATCGTTAAATCCGTGTACGCTTTATGTAATGGTTTTATTACCCTATTGTAATAGAAAGGATAAGCCGTTCCAAGAGATAACATTCATTGGTCCATATAATATTTCTTTAACACACATATTTACTTTTATGCAACCATGCATAATAAAATAACGGTAAATGTTGGACCTACCCTAGGCCAATCCAAACAAGCATACTTTCTCCCTCTAGGACACCTGTTAGAGGGAACTGGTGTTGCTGCGCGTATATCATAATATTTTTGTTGTGTATCTAAATCCCTGACGAGTGAAGACCCATCACAATGTACTGGTGCCAGTAAGATATCTTCTATGGGACTATAAAAGGGGTCTGTGAAGTCCCTTAACGTCTTCGGTTTACAATTTTCACTTGTAATAGTTTCTATTTCATGTTCTACTGGAACTCCCTGCCTCGTTCGTTTAAATATTATGATAGAATCGGCTTCACATTTCAACGGCTCACACTTGTTAGACTTATACAGAAAGATTTTGCAATCCGAAATTAGAACCGCATGTCTGCTAAAAGGCGTTATATCTGATGAAGGAACCTGTAATGAAACGAAGTTGCATTTACATTTAAACAGAAATTATTTCAATCGACAAGACTATATAAGTTTTTTTTATCAAAAAAACCGTCCTCAAAAACTTGCTTTCCCAATTTCGCTGTATTTTAATTTTATTGAAATTACATCTGTCTCAAATTTTATTGAAATGGTTAACGAAAAGTGGGTGAAATTCAATAAAACGGATTCATGCCCAAATTTACCACCGTTACAAGCATTTTCCACTACATTGTTCATAGCATAATTAACTTTATGGTCAATTGTGTAACATACAAACTCGTTACAACAATTCGCATCCATTCCGTTACGCCACGTTACGGTTAGCACAACAGGACACGACTTGCTCGAGAGTGACATAAAGCACAAGATACTCTATGCGAGAATAGCGCCCTGTCGTGCCAGGTCTACACCAAAAAAAGAATCATCAAAATCGGTTCAAAAATGTCGGAATAATCGCATAACATACACACAAGAAATACACACGAATTGAAAACTTTCTCTATTTTGAAGTCGGTTAAAAAGAAAAAGTCAACCGTAAACATTGGCACAAAATTAAAAGAGAAATGATAAATGTTAAATGACAAATTCAATTTGATTTGTCTCATGTAACGGGTTATAACCTTAGACTAAGGAAATCAAAGGACGTGTTATATTGACATATATAAAGCAGACGTTATATGATGCACTTAGACGTTGAAAACATAAACGTTTTATTGTACCATCGTAAGCCAAAATAAATAGCACTTCATTGATTCATTTCAAACACGGGAACCGAAAATACGTAACTTCACCGTAAATGCCAACTGTCCTCATTTTATATATGAGGAGTACCCTTTGATAACCGTTTCCGGTTCTAAAAGGGAAGTACATCAAATACAAAACCAATGTTTGGCCAAATGTTTTAATGAATTATTCACACGAATTGTAATGAAATTGACAAAAATATTGACAGTGAGAACAATTAAGTAATGATTAAAATGCGTCCCTGCGGCATTAAGGGATGCGGCAGTAGAAAAGGCGGAAATCAACCGAATGTTACATTACACCGGCATGTGTTGTTTTTTGTCTATAAATCATACAATAGCCCAAATACCTCGTGTAATTAGACTCATTTAAGTAGTTTATTCATAAGTCTTGTCGAATTTTGCTTTGGTTAGTTTAGATTGCCTGTTTGTTAGTATACTTTGATGATTGTTGATAACGATTATTTTGAAATAGTGTTGTTCTTATAAGCAGACATATTATCGATATTTTTTATTGAAACAATTCACTACGAAGTTTTTATTATTTCATTATTATTACTTTTAAAGTTCACCTACAAATGAAAAAAAAAGAAAGAAAGGTTGGAAATGTTAGGACTGCCGAACATAAACATTGGATCAAATACCATCTTCGTTTGTTCGCTCCATTTTGAAGAGTCAAATTTTAATATAACTTTGAATGTAACTAGATTACATGATAATGCAATTCCATCGTTACATTTATTGGTAAATAACTTTATATATAATTTTGATTTAAATGGCTGATTACTAGCCTAGTAATAATAGCTTAGTATTAATCATACTTTGATTACAGTAAACTATACGGATTTGCAAACATATAAAACAGTTTCAACATTCAAGCCATACATTTGCATGTGGATATTGACTTATCTATGATTATGGTACAACACTAAATCCGCCATTTGTGGTGGGAATTTTTGGTTTAGGTAGGGACGTGTATTCCGTAGTTAGGCCAGCTCCTTTGCTTTATTTTCTTCCATCTTCTAAGGTTATAACGACTGAACAATTTTGACAACTTGAAATCTAGTCATAAATACGCAAATGTCCCCAGTTTTAATTCTCTTTTTGCGATTACAACTGATTTGTTAACATAATTTTCCTGTTCCCATATCGAAATTCCGGAGCCTTTAAATTAGTTTATGTATTATTAATTACAATATACTACAAAAATGATTGACTAGGCGACGAACACCACATTTGCTCAATCGCAGTCATTTTACAAATCGCACATGAAACAAATTACTGTCGTAACTCAAAATTTGACAAAACAATTTGAAAATTTAAAAAACATACGGAATGGATCTTATTGCAAATTATGATGATAATTGATTGTCACGATATTTTACTACCATGATATTCAATTATCTTTTTGTGAAAATACTCGACTAGTTTGTTATAATTATTATAACAAAGTTGAAAACACTAAGAAAAAATCATTCGATCCAGCTGGTTGCGAACCAACACCCTCAGGCATTCCGTGCCAGATACTCTGCCAATTAAGCCACAGAACGAACCAGCAGAAGTTACGAATTTGTCTATGTGTTTATTGCAGATTTGGTGAAATTACAGGCACATGGTACTTGTCAACTTATATCTCAGGGTGACGGGCGCAGTGGGAGTGCCCCTCGGATCTTTACGATTTGAAGCTCCGTCAATTGATATTATAAAAAAAATTAAAATGCTTGTTTTTGGATTTCGATTGGACTTTTAATTTTTTTGCCTAATCGCCATCTGCGAAATTTTTTTGAGTTTCAAACTTTGTTGTAATGATTATTTTCATTTATATATAGTACTGAATTATCCATTTATAAAGGATATTATAATATCGTCCGTGTTTTGTAGAAAGGGCGAAAGCGCCATTTCAAAAAATTATCAGTAGGAGCATGTTTAAGGTTTCAAGACTGTTTTAAAATATTTAAGTCCTGTTATAAATTTAATTTTAAAACTTAAACTTAATTAAAACCAAAATTGAATTTAAAAACAGGACGTAAATATTTTCTCAATTTCACAAATCTGAGTTACAACAGTATTTGATTTCGTGTGCGAAATCTCATACTTTAGTATACCGATAGGTCAATGCTACCAATACACAACTAATGCTAACACATGTACGACTACTGCCTAATATAATATTTCTATTTTAACCTTAGATTCACTGCGGGTGGACCGAGGAACACAGTACGATTCTGCGGGTTTTTGGACATTTCTAGTAGAAGGGAATGGTGGCAGCGTTGCTCTTGGTGGAGTAGTTCTCCGTTCTTTGTTCGGCTGGCAAGGTTGAAAATAACCACATTGTGCCTGCAATCAAAAATATTTTTTATTGACGACCTCAGTTTATATTGAGTAACGGTCTACACTGTGGGCGCTAATTGCCGAGGTACGGGTTCGATTCCCAGCAACACCAATTTGGAAAATGAACTTTTTTAAATTGTTTCTGATCTGAGTGTACTGGGAAGTGGTCCAGAGTGCATTTCGTTGCTTTGGTACTGAAAGTCTAGTACAGGGAATTCCATGGTTTGCGACCAGCAATTGATTTGGTAGTCACTTTTTATTTTACACGTACTTATACCAAGTGACTGGACGAACAAGTCGCGCGCCTGGTGATAAACGACATGCCTGTTCATAACAGTTGCAGTGCCAGTCAGAGTTTTCAATCGCAAAGATCTGAGGGGCACTGCTACCGCGCCCGTCACCCTGAAACATAAGTTGACAAGTCCCATGTGTCTGTAAATTCACCAGCAACCTTTACCTTTCAAAACTGCAACGCAGTAATGCTCACATTACAGATCACATTACTGCTTGGCGGCAGAAATAGGTAAGGTGGCAGTACTTCCCTGGATGAACTCTTTCACAATGAGCTCTACTGTGTACGTGGCCAAGCCATGCCATTGCCATTTTGCTGGTACCAATTGCGATGATCGTCTATTCAAAATACTGTTGTAGCGCTGGTTAGTGGAGGGGGTACGTAGAACGACGAATTAGACGCAGACTTCCGTGTAAAAAGGCGTATATTATCAAAAATTGGTAAATTTACAGGACTAGAGGTGGGCGTTTAAACCAAAAGCATTTTAAAAAGTTTGCTTTTTTAAATAAGCGCATAAGCACGCTTTTCATTTGTTGTTGGTCACTTGTCAGTTTTATCCTTAGGAATTTCATTCTTTACAACCTGTCTAAGTTTTAAGTAGCGCCATTTATGTTTCCTAAACAAATTAATTCAACGTAATGTTGCAAGCTTTTTTAAATATAAGTCTATGCGCTTAAATGTTTTTCTAAACGCCTTTTTAAGTTTCAAACTAAAAAGCGTTTGAGTCAAAAGCGCTTTTACAAGCATGCTTTTTAAACGTACGTTTTAACGTTAAAAAAACAAGCAGTTTTCTCCATTACAAAACTTAAACAACTTAATATCTTTTTGAACACTTTGAAACGCCAATGAACAGAATGTTAATATAATAATGTTATGTTATGAATAAAAATAAAACTCGTTTTTTCACAAATAAACTTATCTTAAAACCTTTACTGATCTAGTCTTGTTTTTCGCTATTAACACAACGTTGCAAGTTTCTTTTAACATAAAAGTCTATGCGCTTAAACGTTTTTCTAAACGATTTTGTTGGCTTCAAACTAAACAGCGTTTAAAAAACCACGCTTTTTTTATAAAGCCTAACGTTTAAACGTTTAAAAAAAAGCAGTTTTTTCCGTCTCTATTATGGACCCAATAATGGTCTCACTAGGGTGAAAGAACGCAGTCCAGTGTCAAACCTTAAGTAGCAAAAATTGGGCCGAAACGTCTCAACAACTTGAGTACCATTCAGTGCCGTGTCAATGCTATAGCGGTAGAAAACATTAACAATTCAAAACATTAAATGACATACTATTGGAGTTAACAAAACGATGGCGCGTTTCAGAATACAACTAATGCCATCTAGTGGTGACGCGACGGAACTAATGACGTGTTAAAGTTGTGGTTGTTACACTGTTTTTTAGATAATTTTATTGAGAGGTCACTGTTGAAATATATTAGTAGTAGTTAAATGTGTAACGATTGTAGAAAATGAACGATATCGAAATGAATTAATGATATTGGTCCTAGCGTTCTCACTGATGTAAATCATCAGATGAAAACAGTAAAATGAAAACAAATTATAATTACGCATTTATTAGGAACTTCAAGTGGTGTGGTACAAGGCGTAGTGCACTGCGGGCTAATTGGGAAGCAAGGCGAACCTGAAACACATAATAAAAGTGAATATGGAATTAATTATAATATAATTAAGCACATAAAATGTCCATAAACGACCTATAGAGGTGGTGACCCTACATAAGTACTGACCCTACATAACCACCTGCAAAACAAAAAAATTGCAAACAATTTGGAGCGCATGAGGTAGATGCGGAGAACTTCATTGCACGTAATGTGTAATTAGCTTTTTAGAAATAAATAATAGTCCTTACTCCTCCTTTTAAAATAAGTTCATAGACCCCTGACGAATACGTTACGGACCACGGGAGAGAAAATTTCATTGAAATATCTCTAGTAACAATCGAATAATTTTTCCGTAGACGCACGTTGTAAGAAGCGAATTAGCAGGAGACCAGATTAAAAAGTTCTTTGCTTAGCGGTGCTAGAAGAAAACGGCGTGGCATTCTATTGAGCAGTTGTTATAAAAAACAGTTGGATAAATTACAAACCGGCGAACTCTAAAATTCATTTTTTACAGAATATTTCTACTATTAAAAAGAGAATGCGTTAAGCTAAATATCGAAAGTCTAATTAGTACTTGCAAAGATTAGTTTTTTTAGTTAATAATTTTAAGTTTCATTGACTGTGCCCCAATTTGACAGTTTCATTTCAGAAATTTCAACGTGTATTCAATCATATGTAGACAATTTTTAAAACTTGTATGGCAAAATATCAATTCTCTCATAGTGCATCTTCGGTGGAAATGGCCGGGATTGACGAGGATGGGCGAGACGAGATTTGAAATATTTGTTGATGTAACATTGAACCGTATTGCTGCTTACATAGACTCTTTATTAACTCTGCAACAGAAACACGATTCACGATGTCTAGTACTATATCGAGCGAGCTCGCGCGTGCTCGCGCAATTAAGATTGTCATTTTATCATAGTTATGTAACCACTTTTAAAACATTGCATCGTTTTCAAATATTTTATTAGTAAGATATAATAAGAGAATAAGACATTGAAGACTGTACCACCTCAATCAACCGTGACCATGGGACCTGTAAAGGGCCCGAAACGTGGGTTCGTTTGAGAAAACAAATTTACGCGATTTAAATCCGGAAAAATATTTTCATTTCCTAAATGATGAATTCGTATTATTTAATGTCGAAACACAGGTTTTCCGATATAGGTCAAAACGTCTATTTTGGGTATCATTTCAACTTAAGTAAAAAAAAAAAGATATATGTTAAAAGTCGATACAACCTCAAATGTCTTTGGTTGATTCTGCATAACAATAACAATGTTGAAACAATCACTTAAAAATATATAGTATAAATGAGGATATACACTGATTACTATACGGTGTGAAAACACGACTCCTAAAAATTTTCAGTATAGAAAAAAAATCAAACTTACCTCGAAATTTTACAAGAAAACCGGTGTATTCAATAGGTACTTTACATATACTATATTAATGATTTTTTTAATATCAACTGAACTAAATAGAATACGTAGGTATAGTATACGATATACATTTTTCAAATAGCATTAATTTCGTTTGTAAAAAAATAAATTCGATAATAAAACCATTGTCCCTGCTGCTCGACCCGCGCAATAGAACCGATTCATTACGAGAAAACTTTGGATTCGAGCTGAGGTAGTATAGACTCTTAAAATCACAAAAGCTTTGATTTGTCTAATTAAATAAATTTAACATTATTTTTAAAAACAGTGATGGTTTAATTAACAGAACGCTAGCCAGTACGGGTCCTATACGAAGTGCAGAATTTAGCATTGATCGTGGTAAGTACCATCTTAAGTCAACTCCGTAGAAGCGACTGGCTCGCAGATGGATAGTCGATCCAAAATTCCACTTTTCGATAATACTATAATAATAGTAAAGAAACATAAAAGAGGATTTCGACATCTTTTTACACAAAAATGTCTTACATTATTACTATTGCACAACAAAACAAACAACTTCTGTAAATTCGCAATTAACATTTTTATCTTTACATGTACGGATTTAAATTCATTGAAATTTTATTTTACCATAAAGAAGGTTCACAACTCTCGGAAAACGTGAGAAGTCCTCAACCCGCATTGAGACCTGTAGGTGTGACCATCGATATAAATGGGTAAATGTTGTTATTAGAACAAAAGTAAATTTAAACGAAATTTGAACTCACATGGATACTCGTCGCAACAAAAATACTCTGGTGGCAGACTTGGACCGGGTGTTTTTGTTGGAGGCGTGAAATATAGAGTGCTTGGAGGCAGCGGAGATGACGAGAGCGAGGGCGAGGGTGAACTTGTAGTAAAACTTTCAACTATCGATGGACATGGTAAAGTGCTACCAAATGTTTTATCAGGTGCAATTTCATCAACTACTGGTGGACATATTGGAGGAGGAGAAAATGGTGGGGCAAAATAAGGTGGAGAGAAACTCGAGTATGGTCCAGAAGTTAAATTATTTGCACAGGCTGGCCCACATGGACAACCGGGGAAACATGATTGACAACATGAATTGTTATTGCAGTAATGGTCACAACAAGATTGCTTGCAAAAAGAACGACAAGACGGTGGCGATGGGCAAGCAATACAAGAGGGACTACTAGGACCGAAAACCGGTGGTGGAGGTAAAGGGAGATTAGGAGGATTATAGGGATCACAAATAAGTGGCGATGGACTAGGCATAAAAGAATTATTACAATTACCGCAAATCGGAGGAGGTAGAAAAGGAATAAAAGGCGCCGGTTGAGAAGGGTCACCAGGTGAATCACTGTGTGGCAGAGGCCGTAAACGAGGATTAAAAGAGTTTTCCCTCGGTGGATTAAGATCACATGGTGTACAACACGGGGCAAGGGGGGTTAGTGAGCATGATGAATAATGGTAAGTATTTAACAGACTTATGTAAGGTTTTGAAGAATTTCGATGTGGGCAATTCCCAGGAGCCTTCGAGCAATAACCTGGAGTTCCATGAACTCTGATTGAACTATTCAAACCTCGTAATACAATTCTGATCATTGAAACTTTTCGATAGCTTAGTTAAGCTTTCAATAATCTTTAAAGATAAAGCAATTATGCGGACAAAGAAATTACTTATTTATACTCAATGAGGTCAAATTATAAAACAAAAATTTATGTAAAATTACAAATTCCTTTTTTTAATAATATTTAGCCGAAACACACTTTGACTACACGTTATCAAACTCGAAATTTTAAATTATTTTTGAAATATTTTTACGATTTTTCATAAGTTCATATTTTTTCTTGATTGTTTGTTGGTTACATTGACAAGTTAATTGGATGTCACAGTCAGAAAAACAAACAGTTGTTGACATGAAGAAATAATAACTAATTAGAAACTCTTTATTAAATACATCGATCAATTGCGTATTTCTTAATGCCCACACCATGCAAATTCAGATTAGACTATAAACAAGGATACATGTGCACTAAATTATAAAATTACCAATTCGGACGTGTACGGTGTGACTATGTAATTAAAACATTTATAATATTTTTTTACAAAAAGGTAAGACCGTATTTGACCTCCATCTCACCTGATGGAAAGTAACGATAAGGTCGACGATGGAGCATACGCACCTGAATAGTGCATATTCACTCTCGCCTATGCAAATTTGCTGTCAGGGAACTCCACTTCCTTAGCCATTCGCTACACAAATGTGGAAGCGAAACGCTTTGTGCGAATCCTTGGCATATTCACAATATAGAGGTGGAACTCTAGCCTGATACCCCGTTGATGGAAAGGGGAAGGCAGAATTAAATCAAGCACTTCCCTTGCACTCTCCGTGATATATCCTGATATATAAGTTTAAAAGTATATATATAAATATACCTTTCCTTTACCGTAGTACTATTAGACAGTTCCATATATGGTACAGAGGCAATTTTTTTCATGCCGTCGTTCCATTACGTTGATAATTCCATGGCAAGTTGTTTTTTGTTATCCGTAGTACCTACAGTAAGGAAGTACATGATAGAGTCCAGAAACAAAAATTAAATTAATTTTTTAAATATACATATAGTAATTTTATAATTATGATATTGTCGCCTTCTCCACCTCGACTTTGCAACCAATTTGTCATCGATTTATGACGTCATACCTTTAATTTACGTGAAAGTTCATCTTTTCTCCAGATCATTGTTCCTTCTCTTCTAAATTGATAACTTTGATTCTTAGGGTCGTATTCTACAACTCTACTCAATGCTCAAGTCAGGATTTGAATATGGTTTAAAGCACTCGAAATCATACTCAAGTCCCTGCCATTAGGATCGTATTTCCAGTGCTTGTGTTTCCAGTGCAATCCTGACTTGAGCATCAAGTAGAGTTCTACAATACGACCCTTAGATTCTAGTATAGTCTAAGCTTTGACTCCATAAATAAAACGTTTCAAGCTTGACGCTTCGAATTTTTAATCGTTCTCATATCACAAGTAATACAAAGTTGAATTTAGACCTTGTGTCAACTTGCCTGCCACGCTCTTGACGCCTGTACTCATGGAACGGTATAGAAATAAAATAAAAACAAAATAATGATTTGCCAATGAGGTACTGTTTCATGTATCACAGACCAGATGCGTATATTACCAGGAACCTTTTCATTATTATCTTCTGGACACTTGTTTCACTTTTTTCAAATTAAATTGGCAAAGACTAAAGCTACAAAGCCCAAAATATTCCATATGGTCTTGATATTTCAGGACCTAAAACTAAAAACTTACAAATAGCACCTCATATTTTGATTGTACGGTACGACATCTGAAAGTTAAGCAGCTTAGTAAAGTGAGGTAAACAACCACAAACCACATAAATAAACAACTTTCTTCACAGATTCTAAACCTCATTTTGTTTTTATATATCTTTACGTAGTCTTTTGATCTATAGTTTTGATTACGTTAGTTGTGATAGGTATATTATACTTAATTCTTTCAAATTTAGCTCAAATATTCGCCTTAATTCTTCTAAGCATGAACACAAGATCTCAGACAATTTATCTAAGTGGTTCCACTAGTTTGGTTTGAAAAAATTCTGCCAACACTAATAGAAACTTGTCCTGCAGAAACTTACTGTTAAGGCAATTTATACGTACAAATTAGTCCTTGAGTGTTTCTGAAAGATAAGTTTGAAGAAATCATCATTCTTACCAGCCTATCGCTGTCCGCCACTGGACATGTTCTGCCAATGTGCGCCATTTCGCCAGATCTTCAGCTTCTCGCATCCATCTGCTGCCAGCAGACTTTCGCATATCGTTACTCCATTTAGCCAAAAGGCGTCCTATGCCACAGTTGCCGAGCGATGGTCTCCACTCGTCGAGTATATAACCAGAAATAGCGGTGAAATGTCATTTAATTTGTTTAAATAAACTATTTTGCCAAATCATTACGGTGACATCTGCGTTCCGATTGGCCAATTCGAATTCGAAACAATTGACGAGTGTCGTCTATTGTTTTACTTCAAATCGACCAGTTTGACTTGAGCTTTGCTATAACGGACGAAAATTGAAAAATTACTATTTAATTACCGTTTAAATGTGAGTTCGTTTGTTTTCTAATCAAATGTTTTGCTGTTTTTCCCACACTACCAAAGGGAATAGCCCCCCATAGTCAGAGATTATCTTTATTATAATAAATACAGAATATTTTTGGAATATACGGAGAAGTACACATAGGTTACTGGTTGGCGCTGTATTATTTCAGCCGGAGCGCCCGTCACACTGAGACATAAGTTGACAAGTCCCATGTGCCTGTAATTTCACCAGCACTCTTAACCTTAAAACCGGAATGCAGTATTGCTTACATTACTTTACTGCTTGACGGCAGAAAGGTAAGGTGGCAGTACTTCTCTGGATAAACTCTTTTACAAGGAGCTCTACTGCTACGATATTACTGTTAATTGCTTAGGTATGTATTGACATTACTAGACCAGTGGCGTGCATTGGTATCTCGATTATATAACTATGGTTATGAAACAAAAATGAAATCTTAAACAATTTCGAATTTAAGGCACTCTTGTTCAAACAACCAGAATGAATACGTATAGGTTACACGCTATTTGATGCGTGTAAGGAGATATTCGTTCTGCGTACCGTTTAGGTTCTCGGATTTCTCTCAGAGAAAAGTTTTAGGAGACTGGTATCATGATCACAGTACATTTACTCAAATATTTTGTATGCTCCTAAAAATACACATAATTTCGTTAAGAATGAAGACATCCATAATATTAACCTTAGAACTAAGTTCGAACTCATGGTATCACAATTTCGTTTTACTAAGGTAAACGATTCTTTTATGGGGACGTTGTTACAATAAAATTCCGGAGCATACATTAAGATTAACATTTAAATGTAAGTTTAAGCTTACATTTAAAGTATTTTCATTGAAAAGTCATATTACAAAATTGTAGACTACGTGTTAGATAAAGATGTATGGAAATCAACAAGTCCAAATTCCACACAAATATGGTTCAAAATGTGTTCTATAGCATTTAAGTTTATTTGAAAAGAGCAATGCCTAGAATTTCTTGCTACATCTTATCAGGGAGGTCAGCGTAGAGAACGAGCAGTAGCTTAAAAATGACTTTTCAAGCGTAAAAATTTTACATAAGGAATAAATTATTATTTGACGAGACTTTGACTTTGATATTATTGTTAAACATCGAGCGTGCGTTCCAATTCTACAATGAATAGCGCGTATGATGACCCGTGCTATGAAACGCTCGCCTATGATTTCACCAGCACCCTTAACCTTCAAACCGGAACACAGTAATGCTCACAATACTGCTTAGCGGCGGAAATAAGTACAATGGTAGTACTTCGCTGGACGGACTCTTTCACGACGAACGCTAGTAGCAGTAGAGCTCCTTGCTCTAGTGCTACAAACTCGCTAAAAAAAGCAATGTTTTGGGCTCTTCCCATGATCACGGCTGACTGACGTGGTATAAGCAGTCAATCGAAATGACGATTTCGACTGGAATTTGTTCACTCAAGAAATTAAATAAACGTATACAATTGTAGTAATAAAATTCTATCGAAACGTTAGTTTATTTAAAAGAATATTTTTTTTAACACACACACTCATAGCCTTGTACTGGGTGAACCATGAACACTCGCGGGTGCTGTAGATGCATACATAGACAACCATAAATTAGACCCAAACTCACCAGAGAAATAAATCTAGGCCGCACGAATATTTTTTTTCGCGATTATAAATATAAGACTATATAGAACCTTTATTCAGGCATTACATACCTTCAACCTTATCCCTTCCTCTCCTTTCCATCAGCGGACCACCCGTGCCGGACTGCGTTGCCACAGTTGGACAGTCAGTTCAATACCGTCCCGCACTAAAAAGTTTGGCAATTCGTTTTTATGCCGAACCGTCAAATTGTGGAACCAACTCCCGGTGCATGTATTCCCTCCCCTCTATAACATCGGGTCCTTCAAACGTAGTGTGAAGAGGCATTTGGCCAGACCGGCAAAATGATAGTGACGGAGTGAAGATATTTGTGTTTTCCATCCGTTACTCTCATCTCTGGACTGTATTCGCACTTTCCATCAGGCGCGGTGCAGTCATTTTGCCGAGTCACAATAATAAAAAAAACAAAGATAAAACATTTTGAGCACTTACATAATATACAGTATATAGAAATACTTACATAATGTAGAGATTTAGATAATGTAGAATAAATTAAAGGATACAGTAAAATATGAACTAAAATAAGACAAGCTATATATACCATGAATGGGTAATTATCATTTACTATTCACATCCTATAATACACACTCGTAGACAGTAGCCCCTGGACAGCTGAATTTATTTTAAGTTATTCTCTACCTAGTTACCTACAAAACAATTAACAAATAAAGATTAGAAGTAATAATTAATATGCCGAACGAGTGAATTGAATTCTCGACGCCATTTTTTTCTATCTATTATGCACTGTCACGTAAAACCCCATTCTCTATAAAAGCGGTGACGCGGGTATGGACTGCGGAGCGTGGGCTACGTTCAGATGCTTTGTGAAAATATTTCTGCCTTTTCGAATAGCTGGTATTTAACGCG